AGTTTATTCTGGTTTGTGTTTGAACAATCTGCTGGAACTTGACAAGGTGACTCAGAGTTTGAAGTTCTCTGATTGGTTGAAAGTTGACCTGGTTCAATGTGATTGGTTACTAGTCTCTCCTCAACCGCTTTTCTGGGGATATGGAGTGTTGCAGGTTCAAGTGGTCTGCCATCTTTGTTTGTTAGTCCTCTTCCTTTACTCCAGTCAGTAAGATTGACTGATGTCACTGATTGGACATTTCCAGCAGTTTCCTCGATTAAATAATCACACATTGTTGTATTGTCTGCTTGCTGTAAAACATTTTGGTTCATTACGTCACTTTCTGGGCACTTTGATTCATCTAAAGCAATAGTTGCTGCAGTTTCATCCACTTTCTCCAGCTCAAAATCATCATCATCAAAGATACTAAAATTCAGCTGAAATTTGTTTTGTTGTATGCTGTCCCCGACAGTCTGATCATTGGATGCACTCGGAAGATTCTTGGTAGTGGTGGGTACATTTTGTGCAGAGCAAGGTGTTTCTGCGATCCCCTTTGGCTCCTCGGTGGCTTTGCACACTGGAACATCATGGTTATGATCTTGATGAGATGGCTTTCCAAGATTAATACTTTGATATACAGCACTTTCCTTTCACAGTCTAATTTCTCAATAGACCACGTATTTTCATTCTTAACACCACCATCAGAAGTACATGTAGGTACATGATTGTCTTCAAATGCGGTGTTGGTGTTGCAGAGAGTTCTGTCATTAAACCCTAGTTGAGTTGGCAAGTTATCTACTGGTTGAATGTTGTTGGCCTGTTGGTGTGTGGAGTTTGGGATGACTACATGTACATCAGCAATGTGGTCATCTGCTTTTCTTCCATAAACCTCATCCAATAAATCGGACAGGACCGAAAACACAACTTCCTGTAAAATAACAGACATCCATTTTTAACCACTTTTGAATAACTAGCCCTGATTTCAAATTAAAAAGGAACTACTAAAGGTGTTTGTCATTCAGCCTTTAAGAAAAATCATGATCAAAATATCAGGACTTCCTAACTTTTGTAATTTCGCAAAATCAAAAATTCGCTGTTCACAAATGAACTTTACTTAGAAAAAGACTTGAGATTGAAACTGCAGAAAGGGAAAGTAAACCTTCACCCCAGTGAATCCAACCACATCTTTCAAAAATTACACAGAGTGTTATCACACTTAGCCACTGTTAGGTTTCCATTGGATCGCATAGGTGTTTTGAGCTCAACAGAAAAACCAACCTCAATCACGTCTCATCAGTCCTTTAAGTGACTCCTACCTTGTTTTGAAGCATTACTTTAGTTTTATTTGGTTCCAGGTTCACATCCACATGATGCTGAGGTAGGCTGATGCTTATAAACATGACCAAATAACGGACGGACACCATGTCATGCTTCACTGCTTGACAGTATGATTGCTTCACCATCTACGGTGCAAATAAAATGAAATAAAGCAAAGTTGAGAACATCTAAAACAGGATTACATGTAACTCACTGTGGCATACATGTATCTGTGATATTGAGTGTGGTTATACTAAGGTATTTAGTTCATACCTTCTCAATATCCTTGAAGATGATTGGTCGACCATTGATTGCAATCCAACACCTGTCTGATACAGCTCTTGATGCTGATTGGCTGTCTGCAGATAGACTTGGTACAAAGCCTTCTATTCGCACCTACAGGTATTGAATTGAGAAGTTAATCAGTTAAGTCATCGTGAGTCAGGTTGGAAATTGTTCTACCTGGAGAATGCCATAGAGTGCGGTGTACATGTATGTCCGACCACATGATGTACGGTACATGTACAAGGTTGTTAAGGTGGTTCTGTACAGTCGACTCTCACAATACAAACTCAGCTAGACCAAACCAAAATATATGTTTTATCTGAATTTTATAGTAACCCTAAAAGGGCCGGGGGGGGGGGGGGGGAGGGGGGGTGCAGAAGCCGTCCCCAGCTCCCTCAACTTTTTCGGCGAAACCCTTGCAAATACAAAAATTCCCAACCCGAGCTTTCCTGACTTTTTAGCCTGGAGTCTTGCGCATCTTTTGATGCCAAAAAAATAAAATTCTGACCATGGGTAACCGTGCAGCAACAAATTTTTCTGAGCTACACGACGTGAAAACTGAAATTAAGTTTGCAATATTCCAAGGATTTAAGTTTGCTAAACCAGAATTTGTTTTAACAGTCTATGTATTACCGAGAGTCGACTGTAATTGTTTTCTACTCATTAAACGTCATGTATACGCATCACATTCACTTTCCCAACAGCATCTCATTAGGGTTAAAGTGTCTGATATGGAATTGATGGAATTGCCCACCTGTTATTGAGTGTGACTGGGTTTGGGCAAAGATTGAGTTATTAGTACCCATCTATGAGATTCTCTCTCAAGTCTACGAGATCCTCTCGAGTACTGAAAAATTGTTAATGTCTGAGCATTGCTTTATTATCTTTTATACAATGCCTGGATAAATACCTGTCATCTGATTGGTGGATCATTGACCATGAGTCATTTAAGTATTCATCCCGTCCCAACCCATGGCCCAGCCGCATCACAAAATTGAAGTTCCATTACACACTCACACAACTTATCAATCAGCTGACAATGATTTATTCAGGCGTTGTATAAAACAAATGCCAAATTTTTCACATTTGTGCAACGGAAAGAATATTTTGTTTTTATTGTTAACAGATGGATTGTTCCATTTCACTCAGCCTTCCAAAAACATTCCACCCGTCACCTAATGAAATTATTCTTACCATTGCAATAAAAAACATTCATTATATATACTGTTACCAAGTGCTTGTAAAGGGCTGAGCTGTGATGTTTAAGGAACTATTTTACAAAAAGAAAAACAGCTATTTTCAAACCTCTAAAATCGGAGCGAGAAATATGTTCATCTTACCTCAGTCTCGTCGTCCAATCGCTGTATGTATTGCATATGAGACATCACACTAGATCCCCAAGTGTTTATCAAAGCTGCCTTGTGATTGGCTACTTTGCATTTTTGCCAGAGGGAGCTCTTGTTATGACTGAGCGCGAAGCGTACTGCAGGACGTATGACACCATAGCTCATTACCAACTCCTCTACTTTCTTCAGTTCATCCCTTCTTCTCTTGGCATTGGTGTAGTACTGTTTGCGAACCGGCACATTCTTGAATAAATGCATCGCAGTCACAGTAGTTCCTGAAGTCATAATCAAATAGAATAGGAGCACTGAAATACAGACTCACGTAAAATGAATATTTTCAAGTATCTTCAAGCTTCCTAGAAGGGGAAAACAACTCAGAACAAAAAATCCCCAAAGAAAACAAATATGAAGTTGCTTTTAAAATTATGACAATGCCACCTTTATTTCAAGATTCAGCTTAAGATTTGTACACTGACCCTCTGCTAATACCATCCGAAAGTAAAGGTGAACTGGAAGAGGTGTGTCATGACATCCAAATTCTGAGCCTTTCTTAGGGTTCAACTAAGAAAGATTTAATTCTACAAACCATTTCCAAGATGAGATGGTTTAGATGTGACAATTTCTCCTTCGTGATCCAAGACATAATGGCGTCCAAACTCATCATCTTGTGTCTTTGTTACTATGGTAACTGAAGACATGGCACAGAGTGATCCCAGAGCTTCGCCACGGAAACCGTATGTTGCTAGATATTCTAGATCAGCATGCTGGGATATCTTGGATGTGAAGTGTCGTCGCGCCATAAACGGAGCATCAATGGGTTTGATGCCACTCCCATTGTCTCGCACCTCAATTTTATCAAAGCCATAATTTTCCTGCAAGAATCATCAAACAAATACGCAATTCAATACTCAGACAAAAAAACTCTTTAACGCATTGTAATTACGCAAAACACAACGTTGATAATTAAAAATGTTCAAAAAACCAAGGAATACCACGCCCACTTGGGGTCAACATGCAAATGGTATCAAAGTAAACATACGGCAATTGGGGGCACACTGATCATTCCTCTCAGATTCACAGCAACAAACAATGTACGATGATAAATCCCTTGAGCAAGTTTTCGCTAATTCCACTTTTCAATTGCAAAGATACAAAATGTACATGTAGCTCTCTGTAGGTGATGTGCATGCAGGGGAATTTATCAGGGATAATGAATAATTCAGATATTTCGGAAATTTCCAACGTCTGTCTCGCTGTCTGGTCAGATGATTGTATGAACTCATCCCTGGTCGATTTGCCCCAGGTTTTTCTTATACACCTCTTTATGATTTTTTTTTTGGGGGGGGGGGGAGGGGAAGGGAGGGGGAAGTGGCTACTTCACCAAGCTAGTGTTCGCGCGGCACCCTGCTACAATGTAGTATCAATAAGGCCAAAAAAAAAAAGTCTCCGGTTTCTGGTATGCGCGCGCGTCGCCGTAGCCATGCGCGTCGGCAAAATGAAAAAGTTTTTTTTCAATACAAGATGATGTCTCAAAACCGCCAAACTCACTGGTTTGACTGGAATTCTGCTGCTGCACAATTTTAACGTGTTTTTAGATGGGGTTATGATCGAGAATAAGCTTTATGTGGCCTCTCTGGACTCCTATATATTGCACTAAGTTTAGTCGGGCACCATTTGCAGTCATCAGCCGACATTTGAAGCCAAAAAAAAAAAAAAAAAACAGGTAAAAAAAAAAAAAAGCCGCGTCGCCACACCACTTTTGGGGTAAGCTCCATACCAGAAACCGGAGACTTATTTTTTTTGGCCTAAAAGTGCCAACTGTTGATTTTAGTCAGTAAGTGGCAGGCAAAAGCTGTGCCTGCCGACTTCATGAAACCTTTCATTAAACTCCGAGTAGTATCACTGAATAAAATCAGCTTGAATGAACATTTAAATGCAATATGAAGGTTTCTGTTGTGTGACATGTTATTGATAATCTTAATCTGGGCAATGATAACCTTAAATTATCTTCCATAGGATGACTGTATACTATGTACAGAACTAGTGACCTTTGATACCATTGACAAACTTTACTGTAAGTTTTCAGGCTCTTGCAAACCCATGGGCTGGTGCCCTTACTACATGTATTGTTGAAATCCATTTCTTCTGCATTCCTTGGGTGTAGTGGTATGTATTCATTTTACAATACAGGTTAGCACTTCACGGATGTGGCCTGTTATGCAGCAATTTGACACAATTGAACTTACATACATGTACATTGCATGAGGCAGAGTACAGGGCGGTGGTTATTACTTTAAAACATGTATGGTTTTCCCCATTTTTAACTTAACCAGAGCTCTGTTTTTACTGTTTTAAGTCTTGCGTGTAACTTTTTTATACTTTGCATGGACATTTTCATGTTTTTCAGGTAGGAATTTAAGGTCATTTTGTAAAATACCTCTTTCTTTTAAAGATCTTTTAAAATTTGTATAGCGCTTAGGGACATTTTGTGTAAAGCGCTATGTCAGCATCATTATTATAGGCATGAGGCCCAAAAGGCTGCGTTGTTGTCACACTAAAACATTATACAGACCGGTTCATAAAAACACATGTAGGAAAATAATGTTAGGTTGTAACTCTTTATTATGTTTGTCTGTTACAGTTATACATGTACATGTATGTACTTACTTTGTGTACTTTAGGAAGTTTTTAACAAACAATTTGGGTAGGAAACATATTTTGTTTTAGATTTTGGTCGAATGTGGCCATAAAAAGTTTGAGGTTGGCAATCCAGGAAGGTCAGGTTACCATAAACACAATCTTTTTTTCAGTCTGAGTAAACATGGTAAACCTTTTGTGCATTCTAACAAAGAACACCCTCTGCGACACCTGCAAGGGAGGTGTCAGGTCAATACATTACAAACCTACTGCCCTTTCTGGCAAAACTCACACGTTCTGACACGTCAGCCAAGTTGAGCCAACAGTTATTCCCCAATTTTGGCAAAATCCACACTGATTGAAAACTGTCTTTCCTCAATTACTCACATTCCAGTATTTGACGTCGGCTGCTTGTGGCATCATCACCATGTCAGATCAACTCAAAGTCATCCTGTGGTGTTGTCCACGTTCACTCTCCACAGCTTTCCTCAAGTGCATGAGTGCTGTTCCTGATTCGCAAATGATTTTTGAGTTGTATAGCACTGCAATGCTCTTTGGTCCGGACAGACTGGCAAAAACGGACATAGCATCACTTGAACGGAATATTCCAGAGAACATTCTTGATGAACGTCGGAAAGACCCAGGGTGTGGTTATCCAGTTTCTATCTGCAGCAATGCATGGGTAAAGCATCATCTGGAGACAGGATACCCGGACAAGAAGTTTGTCTTTGCTAAGGAGATGGTATCATCACTAATGGGCAAGTTTCAGTTTCTTCCAGAGAGTGGATACCGCCACGCTTTCCTCCTTCGTAACCCAGCTAAACTTTTTCCATCCTGGAAGAAGCTCATTTTTGAAATCTTTAGGATGAACAACATCCCTGTTACCATGGAGCAATTGGAGATTGACAAGTTATCAGCAGAGATCATGCCACCAGGGAAGGCTTTCAAGGAGATGTACGATTTGTACTCTTACATCAAAGAGAAAGATCTGGATCCAGACCCTGTCATCATAGATGCTGACGACCTTCTTAGTGACCCAGCTACCATACTATCTGGGTTTTGTCAGAAGTTGGGCATTCCTTACACTGACTCACTGTTAACTTGGGATGAGGCAGTGGATGTTCTTGAGAAGTGGGTTGTGAGTGAACCAATCAAACACATTATCCTGAATGGAGATGGGTTTAAGAATTTCCGTAGCAGCACAGGATTTGCAAAGCCAAGCAGCAAGGATCAGGCCCCTGAGTCACCTGCTAAGTCACCTGACCCATCACCTGATATTCAGCGTCTGATTGACTTCACAATGCCATACTACACAAAGATGTATGAACAGCTGCTCAAGTAACTACAACGTAGTTATACTTATAATATACTTGTTTTATAGAAAGAGATTAGATTTAATCATACTATACCGTCAAGTTTCATCAGTTGGAAAATGCCTGGAATTTTTATCTTTACATGTACTTTCAGTGTTATTCATGTTACTCATGACAAAGGACGTTGGTGTCAGTGACACAAGAGAGAGATAGGGAAGAGTGGAGGGTGGCAACCAAGTCCCGAGATGGCCCTCGCATCACATGGCATGACATGACATACATGTACCGGTACATGTATGTATACAGGTTTACGTGTCTTATTGTACACTGTACTTCATTATCTTATTTGAGTGTTAGTCCTTTTTAGAGTTAATCCTTTTTTCTGTTAAACTTTTACCACTAATCATTCTTAACTGTTGTAATGTACGTGTATACATTTATTAATGGGCTTATCATTCAATTTTAATTTGTTTCGATCTTTTTTGATGTCATAGGCCTATGCTTGTATTATTATTGTAACAATTTTGGTGTTTTTTTTAAAGGTTTTGGAAGGTTTTTAGTTAATTCTTATTGATTGTTAAGCGTCTGTAGCATCAATTTGACGGATTTTGCACTATAGGCTATAATACTTAATAGGATTAGTATTAAATTATACCAATTAGGATACACTTTAAAGCATGGGAAGTTAATACCTTTGGGGGACATGTGGAATTAGGGAGACATTTCAATGTCCCTAATGCCTCAGCTCCTATTTAGAGGCAAACTTTTCTCGTCGCAAAAAGGCTAGATCGATTGCTCACAGTCCAATTGGTAAAAATACTGAAAATTCTTGAAATTCAGGAAATTTGGGTTAGGGGTCAGGAAAGTCGGATTATTATCTATGGGAATGTCTCCCTAATGGTACAGTACCGGTATATACCGGTATTTTAGTTATATTACATAAACATGTAAACACGTAATACATGTAATTATTATTATTATTATTGTTACTTGTATGATGTGTCATTGAAATTGAGGTCGACTTTTGAAGTTTGAATGATTCCTAGAATGGGGATTTTACTTCAGCTTTAACCCTTTCATGCCCACATTGTTTATTGACCATGCTCTCCCCAGGACCAAATTGTTTGCTCAGTCATGCGGAAATCACTAGAGCGTGAAAAAATGACCACAAGTCCAAAACTCACTTTTTCAACCCAGATTTCCACTGCCAAGGAGTGATTAAAATCGTAGGTGTTGTGTGTAAAGTTTGTTCCTTGAACCTTACTCTTTTATGTGATGCAAAAATGAAGTCCATACGTGCAAATATAAGAATGTTATGCCTTTTTGTCCATCTGGTCCCATTTATCAAACTGCAAGCCATTTCACCACATGACCAAATGGCACTCCATACCTCAAATTGTGCGTGGATACTTCTGAAGCACTTTTCTCATTTTTTTGTAATGGTAACACTATGAATAAACTACACCATTAGAACGATCCGAAAACACTCTTTCAGCTGGTATATGGTTGATGTATGGGCGGCCAAACATATCAACATGCCACCTTTCTGAAAAGTAGTGAATATATCTGTGTTGAGGGTGTTCTGTGTGTGGTTTCCTGGTCGACTAAAGTCGCCCATGGGAACCAGCAGGGGGGTAGTTCTTGTCGACAAAAGTCGCCCATGGTAAGGAAAGGGTTAAGGGGGAAAAAAATTCCCCCAAAACACATTTAATAACTAAAAGGGATTATAATTTAATTTAACACTGATTGTATGTACTCAGCAGATCAGAGGAATAGTGGGCAAGTTTAATTTGCAAAATTATGCAACTAAAAAATGAATGAAATTAATGTTATTATTTTGTCAGGAAGTGTATGGTATTATATTTTATCTGATGTTAATTGAATAACAGACAATGGAAATGTAATAACTGATCTCTTACATGTACATGTCAATAAAATAATGCATGAAATTTAAGCTCTGCTTTTCTTTTCAAACAGAACTAAAATTACGATTGGACTTGATGATCATTTTTAGATTTTTAGTCCCACGATTTGACCTTGGTGATCCCCTTGGTGAGCCCCCCCCCCCAACCAGCTACATTTGTAAATCCTGGGTGCGCCACTGACACCAGGGTTTGTTGGAATCTGGTGGGATGAGTACTGCACCAGTAAACTGCTTTACACTGGATTAGGCATACCACCATAATCAGAGTCCAACAAATTCCAACACCATATACAAGTACATGTATGTTGTTGGAATTTGAAGGAGTGATGAGGAAGGTCCTAATAAATCACTCTATGGGTTAGGGTTAATGAAAACTTCTGACTTACATGTATAACCCTCCCTCTCTCAGTGACAATCTGGAGAGTTACCCTATACATGTACGTCAAAATCTATCCGGCGATTGATTTTAACAGTTCTTTAAGATGGCCTCATATTGGTACAATTGACACTAATTTGACAGGCTGTGGTTAATGTGTAGATACATGTATGTTAACTGAGGGTATCATGCCTTGACTGCAGACCTCAACTTACCAATTTGATTTCAATATTGTCACTTCCTGCATCCAGTGAATTCTCAATGAGTTCTTTGATGACGCTTACAACTGATGTAATAACTTGTGAGCTGGTGACGAGACGTATTGTGTCCGAGGAAAGCTTCCGCATACAGGCCATAATCAAACTTCCTTTAAAATAAAAAAATAATAATAAAAGATAATAGAGGGCAAATGGACCACTTTTGTCATACACTGTGGATACAGGGTCCCATTTTTTTCAGAAAATTCTACAATCTAGTTTCTACAACGTAATAATGATGTGCATCGGGTCGTGTTGACCAGGCCAAACCAACCCGAAACATTAGAGATATAAACCGACTCCGAACCGAAACCGATCTTAACTCCCTCAAACCGACCCAACCCGACCTGACAAAAAATAAGGTAAAACCGACCCGAACCGACCCAACCCGAAAAAACCCCGAAAAAAAAACAAATACCTTGCTTGGACAAAGTGATCACTTCTTTGTGCCTGCCCTTACCCACATGGCATGAATTCTTTTGCAAAAACCATTGTCTCTCTCTCTGTCATACTCAGTGGGTTGATCGAGAGTAACTCCGCTTATTGAACAAACGCATGGCATCATCCAGCGGTATCATGAAAACTGTTACAATGTATCTATTTCACTTTCAGTCCCATCCGACTGGAGAAATTATGATAGTGCGCTCGGTGGCCACACCACAATAGGGCTGCAGTCACAGTGACTGTCAATAATATTGCATCACCTAAATTTCTCAACTGTTTCGGTTTATTTCGGTTTATTTCGGTTTATTTCGTTTTTTTCCGGTTTTTTTTTCAAAAAATTGCTAAACCGACCTGACCTGACCCGAAAATGAAAATGAAAAACCAACCCGACCAAACTGAAAAGATGGACAAACCGAACCCGACCCGACCCAAAGTCGGTTTCGGGTCGGGTCGGGTCGGGTCGGTTTCGGGTTGGGTTTGCACATCATTACAATGTAGTTTGAGCTCCAGCTCTAGGTCGAATTCCTGTGATAAGCATTGCCATTGGAGCTGGAGTTACTCAAGCCCATTCCGCATCCGCGCAGCCAATAAAGCGCCCTCTATTAATATTACAGTTGGGAAAAGTTCCATACTCGATCGTCAATTTATCTGCTGCCAAACATATTAAAGGGAATATACAACATTTGCAAACATCGAAAAATAAAACTACCAAGTTTTTGCGAAATACCTTAACAGGATGTTGGTAAATGACAGTCTAAAGCATCCTGTAAAATTATGGCACCTGGTATGCTGTCATTTTCAAGAAAAGTGGTATTTTTGTATCAATTTCCAACGCTGATCGGCCGATCAGCGTTGGAAACAACTGGCTTTTTTTCAAATACTGGCCCCAATTGACCATTGCACTTGTTTGCAATCGATTACAAACCTATGAACATTTACGAGCCAGCTAGACTGGTTCCCTGACCTTACAATTCCCCAATGTATGTAAACTGCTCTGTTTCTTCTTATATGGAGTCAGGGAACCAGACTACAGGAAAATGATCGTTTTTCTTGGTTTTTATAGCATTTTCGAACCCAAAACCTCCAAAAAGTCAGTGTAACTATATTTGCTTTATATTTCCAACCCCCCAATTCCATCCATTTCTGAAAATTACAGCAAAAGCAAATGATATATATTCCCTTTAATTGTCACCTCACCTTGTGATTTCAACCAAGAGAAATCCATGAAGCTGTGTTAAGGTGAAAAAAAATTAGGAAAAATGTATTTTTAGAGCACATTTTTGGATGCACACGTCGTGCAGAACCAAGTTGAAGCAGCCGGTCAAAACTGATTTAAGTGTCTGGAACAGCGGTACGTACGCATGACATCGATAACCATGACGTCGCATGAGCCGGCCAATGATAGTGCAATACGTCATTATGAATTTTTATTTTCTCATGAATATTTAGTTTATTTCAATGAATACTTCAAATACGTCCAAAGATTGATTATTGCAACAGCGATCGTGCGCGGCCTAGCGGTTAAGAGTCTCGTGTATCAAGCAAGCGTCAGAGGTTCGAATCTCGATGAAGTAACTGACTGATTAATAAATAGAAATTAAGGAAAGGAGAGGGTGAGAGTAGACATGGTAGAGGAGGGAAAGTGGAGGAATAACCATAAAAGGTGTAACTTTTGGCACTAGAAAATTAATTGAAAAAAGTGGCGATCAAGTACGGAACTTTTTCCTTACTTACAGTTTACTTCTTGCCCACTCCGCATCCCCGCAATCAATAATAAAGCGCCCTCTAATTAATTTACTTTATATTTGCCCACTCCGCATCTGCACATCCACGCATCCAAGACGGAGTGGGTAGGTTGGGTTTGATTTTAGATAGGGAAATAATGTAGTGAGTCCTAGGGACAGTTGTGAGTCCTAGGGTACATAAAGCGCCCTCTATTGATGACAATTTACTTCATGCCCACACGTACATGTACGTACACGCCATGTACCCGCATCCACGCAAGTGCCAGGCATAACACCGCATCCAACAACAACAACAAAACTTTTCCACCGTGGCCCTGCTCTCTTTTTCAACACTCCGCTATTTGATGATAAAAAAGTTTGCCCGAATTAATTTATACTCACTAAAAATCGATCGTTCCACAGCACAAGTTTAACTTCTGAACTTTGGCGGCAGCTAGAACAGAGCTAGCAGTATAGCGCCCTCTATCAAAGTAAAGTTCGCCAAATAGCACTGACATGACTATCAATCGGCTAAATTGATTGGCTACTTTAGTACAATAGTAGTGCATTTTTCTGTCGTAAATTATGTCTTAAGGTAGTAGAACAACAATAATTATCCTTCACAAAATTTAAACTGATTAGTTTTTTAAATTTTGTAATATTATAACAAAATGATCCAATTTAATGTCTGTAACAGAAAATTAAATGCGAACTATCGCAGCACTGTAATCCAATTGATAAGCATCTTACACGGAGTACAATCCTTGATAAGGCGATGTCAACATCTAGTCTGGTGCTGTATTGTCATTTAATCAACGCACAAACAAAGATTCGTTTTCACACAAAGAGACAGGGTATAGTTCGAACTGAATGATTGCGAGTGACGTACATGCATCGGCAACTGGTAAAACTATGTAAAATTTGTCAAAATATTCTATTTTCATGACACATTACAGTTTCAACCGAGGTTTGTAAAGTGCTACGAAGTCATTGATGCGTTAAATTTAGGAATAGAGTTAGTACAAGCTTCTCTGACGGAGATAATCGAGCAGCCATGGCAGCCCCACGGTAGTGTACTGTGTGTGCGGCCTGCCAGCTGCGAGTGCGAATTTTTCTTTCCCAACAAACGACATCCGCATACATGGTTGTCTAGCGCCCTCTACAACACTTTCGTGATATACGTACACAGGTATTATTATTATTAATTTCCCCACGAGTAGTGCGGCAGCTCAGTCGATATCAGTATATATTGCACCGCGAGCTAGGTTGCGGAATGCAGATTTGAATCTCAGTTTTGCACCCGAAATATTTTTCTTTTCTAATCTGAGGCTTTGGAGGACTTTTTTAAAAGGGAAATGAAGTCTAAATTTCATAATGCTCAAATCATTTTTTTTTTAATTATTTTATATTTTCTTCTCATGCTCTATATAGTCCAAAACGCCATATACTAGCGTACACTCATATGCGGATGTCGTTTGGGAGAAAAAAATGTGCGTATTGCTGGGCTGTACGTTCACACATCTGTACTGAGGAGTTTAGTCCAAACACTGGCGCACCCCCCATTCGGCATGTTTTTTTATATGGTTGTATTCTATGAAGTCTCATCTTTGCCCTCTGGGCATGCCGGGTAGATTAGGTAATCTTTTTCCAAATATTTTGAGAAATGTAGAAATCTTTATCAGTTTATGGAGTCCCAGTCCGTATGCGCCAGTTTCGGACTAAACTCCTCAGTAGGTTGGGAAATCAGACGTGTGGCCTAACGTACAGCGCAGCAATACTGAGGCCTCACAAGTGGGGCTAAGGCAGTACACATGAACCGTCGTGCTGTGGCTTGCATAGTTTACATGCTAATTCTATTGAACATGTTGAAGCTTAATATTCGTGATTACCATTCGGATGATGATCATGATGATCACACAGCGCGGAAAGGAACAGATGTGATGATCAATGCCCATCATGCCCATGATCATCATCCATATCGTTCCTTCATCCATACAGTCATTTTCCTACATTGTAGTTCTGCATGTTCCGGATAGCAAACATCATTGAAGCTGCTTTGGGCTCAAGTTTTCCAAGTTTAAGCCCTTTTAATTTTGACCTTGTAACGTCAAAAGTACCCATGCCACTTTCTTAGCTCCGGATCGGTTAAATCAATTTCAAATTGATCAAAAACCGCTTCGCAATTCGCTCAAAAAAAAATTTCACGTGAAAAAATTATTTTTCAGACATAACCAGCAAGTCAAGCACATTTTCTGATAAAGTATTTGAATTATATTCGAAAAACAGTTCATTCAAGAGAATTCCAGCAAATTTAAAAGAGAATTAACGTTACTGATTTTGAAATGTTTATCTGCAGCGCAATGCCAATGGTACAAACTTGCGAAGACCGAAAACCTGTGACCAATCAAAGAATATGTCACATAAAATTGATTAGCGCAGGTGCAGTTGGGTCCTTGCACGCGTGATCTGGAACTACTGGGCAAAAACATACGGCCATTCGTTGGTGAGTTTTCAAATATTAGAGACTCTTCAACTTATTTTGATTCAACAAACATTTGATGCAAGAGTTTATACAACTGTACCTGGCAGAGTACGAACAAAGTAGTCGAAATTACTTCACACGGTCCGAGTGATGTAAGAGGAGAAAATTTATCGCGGGAGCAGCGAATCTGTTATCATGGTTATAATTTCATTTAATGTATCACTAAAACGACTTTTTTTTTGTCTTCCTTGGAAAAACAGCTGGAAGAAAGCAGTCCACACCAAGAAAGATCTGCCAAGTTTACAAACATTTCTGGAGATATATTGTTCCAGATTGAGACAGCAGCCATGAAGATGAAAATATCAGAGCAGTCTTCTGAGCCGAGTGCTGTCGCCAATGGAGTGATCGAGTCAAATATAACTCCGTTTCATTCATGGTTGGGTAGTCGTGGCATGTGGATTTCATATCTGATTGGAACTTATGCTCTGCATTTGTTCTTTCTCAGTCTACCTTTCCTGAATGTAGCGATGGTGTGGACACTTACAACAGTCACACACAGCCTGGTCAGTCAAAGTTTCTTTCACACAATCCAAAATATAATATTTACATATGTAAAAGTTCTAGGACAGTCCCTTTTCGAATAATTTAGTATTTGATTTTTTTTTAAGTATATTTGACCGAATATTCAGATATTCTAAACTGTCAGCTGCAACTGTGTGCTGCACTGGTAAAAAGAAACACTAAGAGTGTGTCAGTGCGGAGATCGATATGGTATGCTGGAGAAGGAGTGTTTTGTCGACAAAAAAGTTAGTCAACAAAATAGTGGCAGGAAGCAAAGTGCCACAACGTCATGATAACAAAAAATCACAGTCCTGTGTGTATGTGCGTAGCTTTTTTTCTCTCGAATATTTAAACCTGCAATCTTCAGTTGATCCAATATTTAGTATATTCAGGACAGCCCTAAAAATTCTAAACATTGCATGTAACTTTTATTTGCAATGCTTAAATTCTGAATCAGCACTTCGGTAAAATTCACTCTTCGTTTCAACTTCGATCAAAAGGCTAATTCGGGTCGAAAGGGCGCAACTGTAATTGTACTTATTTATGTAACTATTATAATATCCGGAACTAAAATTTACTCAAGTAGATGTTTTGATTTCATTTGTTCTTTATGTTTACACAGTTGATGTACCTACTGTTTCATTACATCAAAGGCTCCATCTGGTCAGATTGTCAGCAAACGGAGCGCTACTTAACTCAATGGGAACAGATCGACAATGGTGACCAGTTTACAACCACCAGAAAATTCCTTACCGTTGTACCTATTGTCATGTAAGTCACAATCCTCATTTGGGCCCTTATTAATAGTATTAATCCAATAATATCCATCAGCAGGCAAGGTCTGTGTGATCTTCTTGATCTTGGTAAACTGATCAATTGATGAACACTAGTCAATTGATGATTCTTGCCCTGGGCAGCTGTTACACAAACCCAATGAAAATGAATTAAGATTGTTTACATGTATACAATTCTGAAGACACTCCTGGAGAAGGGCACTGGGCTCGAGGGAAACAATCTACTGTCCGCAATGAGGGACAGAGTACGCTGGTGAACGACTGAACGGACATCGTGAATACTCCACCAACACCTCAAGGCATTGGATAACTCAAAAGAGAGAGAGACAAAAATTAACCATTTCTTTCCGTATCATTTGTCTTGACAGGTTTTTCCTGGCCAGTTTCTACACAAAGTACCAAGCCACACATTTCTTGATCAACGGCATCTTTACCTTGATTATTGTGCTGCCCAAGTTGCCTATGTTCCATGGTGTAAGAATATTTAACATCAATAAATACTAACAAATAGCAAGCTTTAGGGGAATTGTGTTACTCATGAAAGATCAAAGTTATTTTGACAGATGGTAGCACATTCCTGCTGGCAAATGTCATTGCTTATTTGTGAATGCATTTAAGTTTAATAAGAATTGTTTACAGAAATAAACTGGAGGCTTTTAATAATATAAGTAAATAGACTTTGGAGGATTGGGACACATTTACAATTTACATATTTTTTTAATTTTAAGTATTGTGATGTTATGAATTAATGGTTGCTCAGACTTGCTCTTTACTGTTGATTTTCACTGACACGTTTTAAACAGATATCAGAGGTTGTCATATACATGTATATAATATTTGCTTGTGATTCCCAAGTAATTATTAACTTTTTTCCTCTTTTTTTTTTTTTTTTGAATGCAGTATATTTTGTATTTTGTAAAATAGTTACTCTGGGTGCACTGTTCTTACATGTACATGTACATGTTTTGTGTACATGTATGTTTCAATACTTCAAACATGTATTAAACTGAAGATTTTCAAATGTTATTTGTGATAGCATTTCAAGATGTATTACTATTAGTATTTTGATGTAAATAATCTCTTTTTTTGATTTGGCAAAATAAGTTTCATTTTTTTTTTTTGTACTTTGGGTTTTGGGAGTACTTGCATTAAGTTTTATAAGATAATTTCTTGGTCTGGTTAACATGTGTATTACATAAATTAGTTGTTTCTTCCGAGCATTGTGCAGGCGCATTGTTAACGGTAGAGCATGAAAATGGCTGAGCTAAAAGATCTTCTTTTTTCCCCCTTTTTTTGTGATATTGTTTGGTAATGGCGCTTTGTGAAAGACTTAACTTTTTGGTATTAAAAGAATCTTGTTGATTTTTACTTTTTATTGTAACAGTTTATTTACAGCAGATAATTTGATTGACACAAAATGATACCAGTCTTAGTTAATTTCCTGTAGGTCTCTTTGTAATATTTTTTCCCGTGTACATGTACATGTAACATGAATCTTTCGGGGTTTTTTCAGTTTTTCGTACTTTAAAATAAAGGAATGCAAACAATGCAACTTACATTACAAATTTATTACGGAAAAGGTACACAGATTTTAAAAAAATGAATTGATTTAAGAATATACATACATTGTACATGTACTGGTTCATGTACTGTATGGTAAATCATGCTGATACAATGAAGGTCTTGAATAAGATTAAGATACCTCTTAAAGGTAGAGTACAATGTACATCATTTGCAGCTATCCCAGAAAGTAACTGACGAAATTTAGAGATAGAAATGGCACTAAACTCCATGTGAAATTATTCCTTCTGGCAAGATGTCATTTTGAAGAAAACAATAAAAAAAATCATTTCCAAAAATGAGCCAAGTGATGCATTTTTGGAAAATTAATTTCCGTTAGTAGTTGGTTTGTATTTGGGCAAATCCGTGAATGGGTGCACGCAAGAATTTACATGACGCACATGTACACGCGCCTGTGGTTGCTATTATTCATCGGTTTAGTACGTGACATCGCGTAGCTGCAATGGGCTGAAAGAAGTGTTTTGTATGCTGATTTGGGGTTTAATTCAAAATATATCTCGGCATTTTTTAAACTGAAATTGAGATCCTAGAATATAGTTTATAGAATATAGAAAAACTTCATCAGGTCAGTTGTTAAGCACCCGTCTTTAGATTTTGAGAGTTTTTGTTGCTTCAAACAAAACAAATACACAAATGACAAATGATCTACATGTACATGTACTCTACCTTTAACTACATGCAACACATTTCATTCCACTGCTAAAACAGAGACAAGTTTTTCTGCCTGTTCTTCAATCAGACCCCAAGATGGAGTCGAGACTAACAAGCAGTGTGAATTGCTGATGGTATAAACTAGTGAGTCATGAAGATTTTGTCATAATATTGTATTCATGTGTGTAAATGTCCTAATTACCGGTAAGTGGATAATTTCTTTTCAACCTTACAAAATTGTTCTTTAGTTAAACTGTTTGTTACCTTCAAGGTTACTGGAGTTCTACAACTACACTCTGCATTTATTGATACAGTTAATGATGTAAAACTCTGCGTTCATTGCCATTTGAAAACGGTTATAGAAATTGCTGACATTTGGTACACTTACAGGTAATTAAATTTGAAGCCTGTTAAAAGGTCCAAGGAAATAAAAGCAGAAATGCTACAAATTATAGTCACACATGTACTCATTGACCCCAAGTCATGTTGGCGATTCATTTGAAAATTTCAAATCCTTGAAATTGTTATAAATTGTAAATTATTATTTTTTTTGTGGGGAATAGATGAATATTTTAAACAGTAAACAAATAAAACCATGGTTATTTAGCCACACTCACCATGTTTATTTGTGCTACATGTATTTCTTTGCAACAAGGTGTGATGTATGCATTGATTCTAACTGAACTAATGTAATCTGAACCACCTTGGCATTACAGCCAGACTGATGGATCCTGCTGAGTTATTGACGTAAACGTGCACAGATTCCAAATTATCAGTTCCATTGTACTTTTTGCCTTGTATCAAAGAGCAGTCTTTTAGGCGACTACATGTACATGCTCACTTTGGAAAAATCTTAATCCAGCACAAAGCAATTTTTTCATTGTCAGAAAGCTGTACTGTCCTGTTGCTTTTTAAAATCTTTTAATAAGTAGCTACAAAACAAAAGCTTTGGTTTATGAAAAGTACATGTACATGTAATTTGTCACAGTGAAAACTGCATTGCTTTGTTCAGTTTCCAATTCTGCAATTATCAGACACTTTGGAGAATGGAGCCCTACCTTATAGCTAGCCAACTCATAGCTAGCATAGCTAGCAACTGCCAACTAACCCATTTCAGAATTAAAAGAAAGCAGTTAGACATCATTCAGTTAGCCTTGGATGGTTTAAGTATCTCCCGTACATAGTCCAGTATTTCATGAGCATTATCCCAAGGAACTATAGTTGCTTTTAGTTTGTTGCCACCAGCAACAGGCTCATCAGACTTATCACTAGTATATTCTTCTATCTTCTTGATAAGCCTGTAGCCCTTTCTTGGGAAAATAAAATCATTCTCCCCAAGATTCAAACACGGACAGAAATCATTGGTACCATCTCCAACAACTGCGACTTTGTCAAAGACAACTCTGTCAGTCTTCAACTTTGTCTGAAGATAGCCTTTCAACACTGTTCCTTTGCATAGGTTTGTGGGACATCTTTCACAGTGATGTTTATGATGATGAGCTATTTCTAAGCATCCAGCTGCATCAAATTCTGCAGGATTGGAGAAGATTTCCTGATAGGCCCTCTGAAGCCCCGCCCCCTCCAGAATGTGGCTTATGAACAGTGAGTTAGCATCAGATGCAATGATGGTCTCAATAGAGGGGGCTGTTTGCTGATACTTCAAAAGTTCCATCATCCCAGGAGTGAAAGGAACTTCGCTGATGCTTTGCAACATTTTCCTCTTACGAATGCCTAAGTCATGCAAATGAGAGAAGATGTCTCCCATGTATTCCGTCCAACTGTCATGTTCTTTGTATCGATCTTTGATTGGTTTCGGAACTTTGCCATTTGGAAGAAGTTTTCTGATCCAGACATCAACGTTGCCATCAATGATTGTTTGATCAAAGTCAAACACAAAGAGCATCTTGGGAGCTGCCATTTCTTTATCAATGATCACTGAAAAAATGAAAACAATGATTGACAAATTTATGCTTAATTGTACTGTAGCAATAACACATTTAAATCACAATAAGGTGTTTCACAGGCAAAAAAACACACGCATTGCTTGACGCGGGCGCAGTTTGGAATGACCGCATGATGACTTGGGAGCGCCAAAGTTTTCCATTGAAGATGCCTACACAGTAATGCGTGTAAAATTGTCCCATCTGCATATTGGCAAGATGATGCATATTATTGTAAAACAACTTATTGCACAATGCTTGCATCAGAAATGGACTTGAAGTTGAACACATTGTCTTTCGATTAATATTATTTCTGGTACAAACTTAATTTAAATAATTTATTTGGCATGCCAAATATTTAGATCTTTTGTTTGGCAAACAGTGTGTCAGTGGCAAATTAAATCATTAATGGAAAAATTACATATCCTGGATCTTTCCACAAAAGCAATTTGTATATCACTGGCACTAGGGAAAGACCTGTATCCATGGGTTTCATTACAAAATTAATCTAAATACATTGTGCAATGTACATGTATTTACATCATGCAATGTATACTATTATTAAAGTGCGATTCAGAAACAATTAAACTGCAAACAAAATTAGGAATTCATGCATAGAACTAGAAGATTGTACATGATATCATTAAATATGTAACTTTACACACAAGAAATGCTACATGTATCATGTACACCAACCGAGTCATGATGTCACGCCCCAACTATCGCATCGGTCCCAACTATAGTTGGGACTGTCCCAACTATAGTGCGGCAGTTGGGTCGGCCCAACTATAGTTAGGACTGGAGTTGCGCCGGATGCTTCATGCTTGATAGATCTTGTTGGATTAAATGTTCCGCGGCGCTGGCACCGTGTATTCGTCGTGCATGCATGCCGCAAGGCTGGCCGGTCACGTGGTACTGCCTAGTTGGATGAGTTGTCCAGCTGCTGGGTTGATTGTCCAGCAACATTTTGCAAAATTCAAAGATTGCCATGGCCGGCCAACTATAGATGGGCCCCACCCATAGCTAATGTCAAAGGTCCCAAGTAAAGTCGGACAGTATGTAACAGAACTGTAGGGAATGTTTTATAGTCGTCGTACATCAATGTAAACTATAGTTGGGACCGCCAAATAAAAATATTGCGGTGGCCCAACTACAGATGGTCCCCACCCATAGATAATTTCATTGGTCCCAAGTAAAGTCAGGTGTGTATTAGAGTTGTAGGGAATGTTTTATAATCGTACAACAATGTACACTATAGTTGGGACCGCAAAATAAAAAGATTGGAGTGGCCCAACTATAGATTCGCCCCATCAATAGCTAATTTCAGTGGTCCCCAGTAAAGTCAGACGTGTATCAGAGCTGTAGGGAACGTTTTACAGTTGTACATCAATGTAAACTATAGTTGGGACACCGCAAAATAAAAAGATCGGAGTGGCCCAACTATAGATGGGCCAGCCCAACAGTGGAACTTACAGTTGGGACCGTCCCAACTATAGTTGGGACAGGCCCAACTATAGTTGGGCCAGCCCAACTGTGGAACTACAGTTGGGACAGGCCCAACTATAGTTGGGACAGGCCCAACTATAGTTGGGACCGATGCGATAGTTGGGGCGTGACAAAGACACTGTCTGTTCCTACTGCATACTGTCTAGCTAGCCAGTATAGTCTGCAACTAGCTGGAGTTACCCAGCCCTGAGTTTTATCATTGGGTTGTCTATTAGGGCTGGAGCGCATTTTTCTCAAAACTTGTAGTATTTGCAAAAAAAATTTGGAAAATGTTCAATTTTGTCCCCGTTACACACTAATTGCAACTGCAACTCATCCCAAACTTGCCTGGAATAACCATTACACAGGTCCTTGAAGTAAAAAACGATCCACGATGCAGATTTAGCCTACAATTGCAGTGAAAACAGGAGGAATAACTGCTAACTTGACAACCTTGCTGGATTGGCCAGGACCGCTATTGGTTTGTACACAAAAAAAATTGTGTACAATGAATGGCGGTCGATTAACAGGCACAGAGAGCGATCGCTGTCAACTACTCGTTTTGCCGGCTGCGCTGGCTGTTGGCGCGTGACGTCACGCGGAAGCGTAACACCCGATGACTGTTTCATGCACTATTGGTTGCGGTTCCAGTACCAAAGCTGTTATGCGAGTGGTAAACCTTATACTAGTGCATGAAACAGTCATCGGGTGTTACGCTTCCGCGTGACGTCATGCGCCAACAGCCAGCGCAGCCGGCAAAAACGAGTAGTTGACAGCGATCGCTCTCTGTGCCTGTTAATCGACCGCCATTCATTGTAAACAATTTTTTTTGTGCACAAACCAATAGCGGCCCTGGCCAATCCAGCAAGGTTGTCAAGTTAGCGGTTATTCCTCCTGTTTTCACTGCAATTGTAGGCTGAATCTTCATCGTGGATCGTTTTTTACTTCAAGGACCTGTGTAATGGTTATTCCAGGCAAGTTTGGGGTGAGTTGCAGTTGCAATTAGTGTGTAACGGGACAAAATTGAACATTTTCCAAATTTTTTTTGCAAATACTACAAGTTTTGAGAAAAATGCGCTCCAGCCCTAATAGACAACCCAATGATAAAACTCAGGGCTGGGTAACTCCAGCTAGTCTGCAACAACTACATGCAGAAGAAACTCACACACAGAGCGAGTATTAATTCGTATTCTTATTCAAAGTAGCTGGGCAAAAACGACAGAAAATTAAACAATACGTTAATATTTCAGCCTTTGAGTACTTACTTCATTAAAGTGGTAGAAATCATAAATTTTGGTGCTGCCACCGTGACTGACGATTCACCGACGATTTGATTTGAGCAGCATACGAAAACAACTTTTTCGAAACAAGCGCCCTCAATCTTTACACTTAATAGGGCTTACATTTTTGCCGCACCAGCACCACCACTGCTGCTACAGTAAAAACTGAAAGGATCGATTTATTCTGTTGGTCCGTCATTTTACGAGATTAAGATTTAACTGAACACGTAGTGTTACCACTCTCTCTCTATATATACATATATATATATATATATATATATCCAATGAAATCGTCTTCTATCACAATTCACAGTGCTCGATACATCTCTGTAGAGCTATAAACATGCAATAAATTCGGAATATTCTCTTTCTGAACAGACTGTTTCGTACCATAAGGCACTCATCAGCAGAATGACGAAAAATAGAATACAAGTAGCATCTTACCTTATTTCGAATCAAGCGCGCGCACGCGTTACGCGCGTTACGTCATTGAAGTTAGTACGCGTTTACGTCACTGAAGTAAGAACACATCTGTCTCGATGCCTGCACTTGGAGACGATTTCGCTTCTCTTATTCAGTGTACCTAGATCTGGCCTACATATGATTATGTACTTCTCTGCTATACACAAATTGCATCTCTTGTTTACGTTAGAGTATGGCAGTGCTTTCAGAACTATGTCCCATTTGATTTCATAGTCTTTCCCTTCGTCCTTTAAGTCCCATATATGTTTACTTAGCTCTGTTTGCGCCCTCTTGCTCTCGGATCTGAATGACTGCTTGTGGTTCGCCAGTCTCGCCTTGAAGGTTGTGGACGTCAGCCCGACGTATGCCTCCTTCCTGCCTTCGCTCGTGACGGTGGCCCGGTACACTATGTTCTTGCTGAGGCACTCCCCGTTCAGCGGGCATTCGGCATTGCGGGGACAACTGCATGTTCTACCACCGACGTCGTCCTCCTGTTTTACCTTCCGTTTGTTGATTGACTGGATCGTTGCCTTCATGTTCGGCATGCAGCTGTACGATAACTTTACTGTGTTCCGGTTGAGCACTTTGTGAAGCTTATGTTCCTTGGGGAAGCATTTGTCTATTATCTGAAGGAATTTCTTTCCAATGTTGGTACGTACGTTCTTGTTGTATGGCGGGTTGTACCATGTCACCTCCCTTTTTCTAGTCCTTTTCCTGGTGTTATTGCCCGGTGTGTATGTCAACCGATACTTGTGCCCGCTTTTTTGCAGAGCCTCCTGGTAGGCCGGGGCAGCTTTCTCGAATGCCTCCTTGCTCGACGAGATGTTGGAGAGTCGCTTGTTGATTCCCTCTGGTATCTGTTTGATGACGGCGGGTGGATGGTTTGACTGGACATGTACATAGAGAGGTACATTACCTGGTTTCATGTATGGCTTGTACCCTCCCGTTCGCAGGTCTAATGTGATGTCAAGGAAGTTTACTGTTGCCTTGTTGGCTTCGATCGTTACCTTTAAGTCATTTTCCCGGAATACTTGGCATATTTCCTTCTTGATGTTTTCTATTTTCTTGGGGGTCTCCTTGAATACTGCCAGACCGTCGTCCCTGTATAGTCCCACTCTATTTCCGTACTTTGGCTTCAAGATCGACAGCAGATATGCTACGACCAGCTCGCATGACTCCGCGCCGTCGAAACTGCCCATCGTGACATCGAATTTGCTGTCTGCATTACGCTTTTTCCACGGTACCTGGTCGTTGAATACCACTGTCTGTTTTGCGTGGATGATGATATCTTTCTCCTTGCTGCTAATGTTCTCGTAGTTTTCCGCGAACCCTAGGGCCTTCAGGAGAAGCTTTTCCGTTATCGAGGGGTAGAACTCCACAATGTCGAAATTTATGAAGCTCGATTCTTGCTTGTTTGGGATTTTCTTATACCAGTCCAGTACGGCGTCCGTGCTTTTCCACAGGTTGAATCCTGTCGCGCTTATGACTTTACCGACGATTCTGTCGAGGATCACTTTACTTATATGTCCTATCTCTGATTTGGTTGGGCTGATTAGTCGACATGATGGTTTGTTATCGAAGTTGTCCTTGTGGTCCTTCAAGTACATATATATATATGTACTTGACAACGTATTTAATAATCTATAAATTAAAACCTTTGTTATTTTCATATGAAAAAAATGGTAATTAAGACAAAAATAAACCACATCCACTGACAACTTCTGAGAATGTTTTACATTTAATTGTTACAAATCATGTTGGACGGATAAAATGGTTGAAAAAAAATAGATAAGTCAGAATTTCTGTAAGAAAACTTTTAATATTAATAAAAACAGAATGAATGTCGAGTTAACTTAACCTACATGTATAACAGACATTCAGGGTCAAAATGGACGGATCAGGATAAAAATGATAAACTATCAAACTTAGGTGTTTTTTTAAAATTAATATGAACAGTTGATCTTTAAAAAACAAATGTGAACTACCGCTTTTTATGGCCCGCATGATTTATGGCAGCGACCGGGATGGCATGTTCTTATACATGCACAAACTCTAGCTTATTGTCACCAAACACATCCTCCTAAATATCTCAAAAGAATTCCTGATATTCCTGTAACACAATGACCAACACAAAAGAAGGGTGGGTCCCTCTGCCACATATCTTGCCTCATATGCTGCTTATCAACAGAAATAAAAAGCAACATCTAGAGGATAAAGATAACAATAAATCGTTCACTTTCATTTGGACCAAAAGAATAACATGTTCAAGATGTAAAATTCATTTAAACTATTCAAAATGGTACCTGCCTACAAAAATGAAAGTTGCACATAATAGTGCACTTTTTACCAAAAACAATATCTCTTTCCTGTTACGGTGTGGAAAATGATGTTATATATTTTTATCCCGACACAATTTCCTACATAAAACTGATAAAAAGTTGTTGATTTTTTGCTCTCACAAATCTTCATTTTTTATAGCACAAAATATAGAAGAAAAAATATACAGCACAAAATATAGAAAAAAATCAAAATATATACATAATCATCTCATCACTTTTGTGAAGCACTTTACAGATTTTTAGAAAAATAAGCAAAATGTTCTAAATATAATGAATTTGTATACTATCTACATTCCAAAAATTCAAATTCAAAAAGTGTCAAATACTATGGTGATTCCAAGGAAAATTAAAATATTGCCAATCCAAAAATATAATTCAAAAATTTGGGTTTTTTTTAAGCTTAACGCAATTCTAAAGATCTTAAGAATGGTAATGATGTGCCCTTACTCTTGCTCAGACTACAGGTGCAAATTTAGATCAGTTTAACAGTTTGAATATCAAGCAATATAACTTTACATTCAAAGTCCTTTTTCCTTAACATGGTTAATAATACACATTCACATGATATTAAAACCAGTTCTACAGAATCATTAGTCACAGCTCCGCCCCAAATCCCCCAGCACTCATTAGCGAATAAATTCAATATAACACAATGTAGTACAGGTGCTGACAGGGTATCCCCATGTATACGTTGAATCGTTCCTCTGAAGTGTCTGGCTCAATTCACTCCCGTCATCTTCAAGTGGTGACTTACACTGACTACACCTCGGCATCTTCTTCCAGTTCTACCACTTCACCCGTCTTCATCTTAGCAATAATCTGGGAAGATTAAAAAATAACATGTTTTGTAATATATAATGAATTGCATTAATAATGATAATAATAATAATTGCAGTACTTATTAAAAAGTGGACAGTGGATAGAGGCCGAAGCAGATGATAGAACATAGTCGCAAAGCTTAGGTCTGGAACTGTGTTTCACTCTATGCACTCACCTCCTTGAGTCTGGCTATTTCCTTGTTATCAGCATTCTTAGATGCATCGTTAGTGATCAACTTGACTCTGGATGCATAGCTGTAAAAAAAAAAAAAAAGTAATGCAAAACTGTTCAGAATTTTTTAGAACTGAAACTCAACAGACCACAAAGTAGAAGAAAACTAAGTTGGCTGAGTAAGTTCAACATGGCTCAACACTGTAATTTTGAACAAAGTACATGTTACCTATTCATTTACCTATTTATTATTTTCCATTGGGGCCCTGCAAGAACAAATAATGACTACAAACATGTTTATACAATACATTACAAATACAATACAATTCAATACAATGGGATAAAACATTATTTGATTAAGGCCTAGTTGTTAAGCAAATATCATACATACAATATACATGTATTTTAAAAACTATTATAACTACATGTACAGTTTGAAGGCTTTACTATAAGGTGGATTCAGTGAACACGAAGAATTTGGACCTATCTTGTAACATCAAGAAATATATTGCTATTATTCGCTGATTACGGGAGGGGCAAAAAACCCTTTTGGGAGAAAACATGGGGAAATTCCCATCCGTTTTTACACTTTTTTTTATGCTGAAATTGTTTTGACTATTGACTTGCATTGAATCTACAATGACAAAGAAGTTAGTCTACTACTTCCTATGTTTACGCAACATCCAACCAATGACTAAAACATGAGACAGTGAATAAAATATACTTACGTCAATGAGATGACAGTCTCCTCGGAATTATAATCAGCTGGTGAGATGTTAACAAACATAAGAGTCTTGGCATTGCCTCCCAAGGAGTCCTGCATCAGCATGGTGAGTTTATTGTTACGGTAAGGGATGAAAGATTGCTCACTGGATAAAGCTGAGATGACATCACCTAAAGCACTCAAGGATTTGTTGATGGAGTTAGCTTCCTGTGATTAGGGAGACAAACGGATCCAAGAGGTGCATCAATTCACATGATTAGATGTTGGGATCAATGCATATCATTTGATTGACATGGTAACAACAATCTTAAGTGCAAAGGACATCTAAACAGGTGAAATTCAACGTAGCAACTTTTCCGTTTAGAGTTAAAATTTTGCCTTTGAGAAACATACCTTTAGTTGTTGAGCAGAGGCATCCGTTTTGGCAGCACGTTCACTACCAGCCAAATCTACCAGACTCAGTTTTCCCTTAGTAACCGTTCCCGTGGTGATGTTAGTACTCTCAATGACAACGCCAATGACCAGATGAGACCGAGAACTCTCCGCATTCATCTCTGTCAAGAAAAAAATGAGCACAAATTTTGATGAACAAATCATTCCTAATTCCATTTCCTATTTTTCCCCAGTAAAACACAACAAAGCACTCAATGTTTTCATGAACAAAATAGGAGTTGCGTGGGTAGCAGGGAGAGACTGGGAGTTTAAAGGTAGGGAGTTCATTTTGTCAGTTGTGCATTTTTTTGTTTGAAGCAACAAAAATGCTCAGAATCTAAAGACGGGTGTTGAACAACTAACCTGATAACTTTTAGCTCAGTGAATGCTGTATATTCTAAGAAAGTAGCATCTCGGTTTCAATTCAAAGGTTGCCAAGTCATGGTTTGAATTGCGCCCGAAATCAGCATCCAGGTCATGTTCTCATTCAGCTGATTGCAGCTCGCGATGTCACGCACTAAACTGACGAATAATAGCAACTACGCGCGTGTGTGCTTCATGTCATCGCTTGCGTGCACCCATTCATGGATTCACCGAATTACAAACCAACTACTAACTGTGTCACTTGACGCGTTTTTGGAAATTGCCTTCTTTTACTGTTTTCTCCAAAATGACAGCATGCCAGAAAGAATAATTTCCCAGGGCGTTTATTGCCATTACTATCTTTAAGCCAAGTAAGCTCTTCAACAACAATTTTGTCAGTTACTTTTTGGATAGCTGCAAATGATCTACTCTACAACTGAGGTCGTTTTGGGATGTTTTAATATACTGTGCTGAGCTGCATCAACATCAGTATATGAACTTACTGGTTGATGCAACATGTCTACTAGCTGATCCTTGTTCAAACAGTCCATACAATTCCTTGGAATTTGATGCTTCTTGCACCACAGCACCGTGCACAAACACCAACCCCTTCTTGTCTTTCTTAATGTCCAGTTTGGCACTCTGACAAAAACAAAATGAAAATAATTTACACTAAAAAATAACGAAATATACTGGAACTTAGAAACAGGTTAACGATTTTGTTAAAAGATGAACAACAAAAATTGACTTTACTGGATTTGAACCTGTCATCTCTATAACACCTATATGGGCACTCTATAACTGAGAACAGCTCATATAGATCCGTTTGTAAATGTTGAAGTGCAAAGATTTTATTTGAAGGTTTTAAGCAGGAATGGCCACAGGAGGGGGCAATATGACTATTGTTCTGACGCCATCTTGTGGGAATGGGAAGTCTTTGCCAACTTACCTCACCATGTGTCTTGGAATACAAGTCAATGAGTTTGTCATTGTACAATTCCAACATGTAGGTCTCAACACGGAAGGTAAATTTGGCTCTGGAAAAACAGAGAGAATGATTAACATATTTAGACAAAAATACAAAGAGTGTTGTATGATGACACTTTCTATGCACAAGGGATCGGAAAAAAGTCACAGAATCTTGATGGTTGAGCAATACCTTATTGATTTTAATTATGTCACCTTATTCATATGCGGGAAAAACAACTACTTAGACAAAAACTGTATTCCTCATTCTGCGAAATTTGTGAAGACTAAAATCTTACTCACTTATTCTCCTCGATGACCTCAAAGATCTTTTCAAACGCTCTTGGTGCAATGCCAGGAAAATTGCCTTCCCTATCACCAATCATCGTAAATGTCTTACCGGAACCAGTCTGACCATAGGCAAAAATACAGACATTGTAGCCGTCCACAGCAGACTGAATCAGGTTCTAGTAATGGAAACAAAATGGCAAATGTGTTATTGACGCCAGGAGAAACAATAATTTTACCTCCAATGAGAGTCAACAAATTATCTAAATTATAGGATGCATCAGAAATAAATGTATGGAAACTTACATTGGTATCTTCAAAGACATCTGCTTGTGTGCTCTCAGGCATGAAGATATGATCAAACTGGAATTCCTTCAAACCTCGAGTACTTTGAATCTCTACAGAGTACTCATCGGGTGCCTTGACAACTGAGAAGTTACCCTGGTAACAAGAGGGATAACAAATAATAAACTACTTGATTGCAAGAGTCTTACTTACATTTGATGTAACAGTGATTGGAATGACCTTCATTTGAACCAATGCAAACGCTCAAGAACTCTATGGTTTTATGAATTGGTCAGGGACAAAATCAAATGTAATACAATGTAGTACAAGTGCTAATGAGTTAATAGAGGATGGCCTGACATATCATTCGGGGCAGATTCAAAGAACGGCAACATATGAGATGGCCTTAAAAGAAAATGTAACAGTCAGCCCAAAAAAACTTGGCATTACAGTTCAGTCCAATGCACATACTCTGCCTTTCTCTGTAGAACTGAGTGGTCTGGTCCGACAGTAGACGCGAATCTTGCCTTTCATATCTTCAACCATGTTGTAATATTTCTTCCTCAGCACCTGTAGATGAAATGATTTACACCTGCCTGTCAATTTTAAGTCATTTATTCCATGCCACAATGCCGCTGCTTTACCTCGAGAATAAAACTTTTTTTTTATTTTTGAGTGCTCCTTGTGGCAAAAAATTTGATATAAGCGTTGAGTTCTATACGTGAAAAACATGTCCAAATTGCCCATTTTGTGCATTTCAACATCATTTTGATGTAAAAAAACACAATTATAGATGACCCCTTTTGTAGTTCTTCTTTCACATCGGTGTAATAAAAATACACGGCTCTACATCCGAACTGAACAATTAAGTTCGGTTCGGTTCGGAATGGTATGTTCGGCAAATTTTAGTTTGGTTTGGAGGTTCGGATCATCAGGAACCTTACTCTACGATTAGTTTGACTAACCCTTTCACTGTTGTAGTTCTCAGTCAGTGTCTTCATCTCACTCTGTAGTTTCTTCAACTCTGCAGTCTGCTCAGTGACTTTCTCTTTCAGTTCTAAGGCTTCAGCTGCTGCCACGCCCAACAAATCAATCTGATTGGTTAGTTTCTTGATCTCATCCTTGGCCCCGTCTAGTTCCTACAACAGAAGAAACAAGATTGCATGGTCTATGCGACAATGGTAGGGGGCGCTACACAGTCTGCTCAAAATGGCTCACGTGTGCCATCTTGTTTTTCCCTCAAATCTCTCTATCAATAATGCCATAGTTTGAAAAGGTCTTGGGCCAATTCATCTTCTAGTGTAAGATTTCTGCTACAAGATACAAGAGAATTATCAAAGAACAAACCCTACAAATTCTCAAGCAGTTTAAGTAATGTCTTCAAGAAATGTACACCACACCTCAATTAAGGATTGTTGCCAAATCAAGCCAGAGACAAACCAATCAGAAATCAGAAATAAGAAATCAATCCATGTCTACCTTAGAGGTTGTCTTGAGCTCGGCATCCAGCTCCGTAGCATTCTTCTTCTCTCGTTCAAATTTCTTCTGCTCCATCTCTAGTTTCTTCTCAAGATCCTTGAGTTGTTTCTCCATCTTCTTTCCAGCTTGTTTCTGTGATGAGGCAAAAATGGGTATGCATTCAGGTTATCAATATTGACTGATGATCAAATACATCCAGACGAAGGATAAACACAGAACTACAGATAAGTGACAGCTTGTAAACATAGTTGCAACCAGTGTTTTTCTTCATAAATCATTAATGTTTCCATTAAATATTATTTATTGAAAACAATTTAAAATCAACAAAAATCCCAGGGTAATCAAAAACATATTGTTTTAGTATTATTTAGGAATTCAATTTTGATTGTTGTCTCCACAGTGGGCTATGTGAATCCATCAAGAGAAATAAGATGAGATTGACTTACATCAGCTGTCCCTCCAGATTTTGCCTCCTTCACATCCTTCTCCAACTGGCGTATCTTATCCTGATTCTCCTGAATCGTCTTTTTCAATGTTGCAGCTTGTTCTGTCAATAACTTGATCTTCTTCTCTGACTTGGCATCTGTTCCTCCCTAAACCCGACAGACCAAAACATTTAGATCATCACTTGATAAGAAACATACGACATTGCAATGAACGCACAGACTTTGAAAAACTTTTCAGACCCTTCAACTTATCTTTCAATGTCCATCAGCCCTGCCTTTCCCCATGTACCCATAAACCTTGGGCCCCTGCAGCCCTGATAGCTGGCGCCTCAATTCTTTACCTTTGTACCCCCTGCTGTCCTGCCTGTACCTCCAGCTACTAGTATCTCCTTGTTCTTCTTCTCCAGTGCTTGTATTTGTTTCTTATTCTCTGCTTCTCTCTGTAAGTATTTCTTCTCGGTAGAAGACACCATATCCTTAGCTTGCTTGTCTTTTTCTGCCATTTTTTTCTTCAAGTTATCCTAAAGAGAAAGCAAGTCTCAGGATCATCAATATGCTAAAGGAAGCGAGCTGCAATTGATTCACTCAAGAAAAAGTGCATAAATTAATCTAACGCTGAAACTGATCCTCCAGGTTCGGTTCGGTTCAGTTCGGTTCCAGTTTGAATTTTGTTCTTCAGAACATCGGTAAATTTAATTATCTGTGGTCTTTAATTTTGCCCTTTCATTGCAAGCATTAGCATTCCTAGTGCTATCAACAAATACTTGCAGAACTCTGAACAGACCATTTCCGTTCGGTTTGGTTCGGTTCATTTCAGAAATCCATGTTCTGCTATTTTAGTTCTGTTCGGCGATTCAGCTGCAGCACTACGTTAAACTCACACGAGAAACAGCATCTTGCAAAATACGAGACCTCCTAATGTTCACAATAGTATTGGCAGGATCATAATAAAAACGCAAAATTAACTCAATTTATACAGGACACTGCATCAATCACGAAGATAAGGGAACGTGTTCACAACACAGGCTGCGCCTTTGATAACTTCATACTTATCATTAATGTGACTACAAGGTACTGACCATCATGACTTACCTGATGAGCTCGATTAGCCTCTCTTTCTTTAGCTAGTGATTCATTCGTGGTTTTCAGCTCAATCTTGAGTTTATCCAGATCAGCTGTGCCTCCGATGTTTGCCTTCTGTGCATCTTCTTTTTCCTTCTCAGCTTTTTTCTGATGGTCAAAAACAACCACGAGAACAATTTTTTTGAGATTCAGCCAATTCTTTTTCCAAACCAGGTGACTACCAGTCAATCAATGTGTATCTCAAGACATTTTTGCACTCTGTCATTACACTGGTGTCCTTACCACTAGCCCCTGTAGTAATGTGATCTCCTTAGCTGTATCAACTGGTAGGTTCTGCAATTTCTCCGCTTCCAACACATCTAGGCGTTGTTTTGTTTCTTCAAGTGACTGCATGGGCAACAAAACAATGTTTCGTTACAATTTTAAAAGTTTGATTATTCTCAAACAAATGATTTTTTAATTCATATATTAAAAAAATGATAACATGGAAGGATTGTTAGAACACCCTTTCCATAGTTGCTGTATTCAGTTACCAAGAGGTTCCTTTGGGGAAAATGGAGATGTGCCATTTCAAAGAATGTTGCCCGACAAGAACAGAGTGGTCTTTAAAAATCATGCACAATCACAAGTGTTCTCATTTGGGAACAACAGATGTTCCAGGTTTTTCCTAATTATTTTCAACGAGATTCTCCTTTGATTAAACTAACTACAACAAAAGTGCAGCTCAAGTGAATCTCCAAGATGGCAAGAAACAAGTATTTCATCCCAAACCTTTTCTTTGAGTTTCATCTCAGCGGCTATAGCAACAGTTGCCGTGGTAATCTTCCCATCCATCTCTTCCTCCAGACTTCTCTTCTCTCCTCTCAGACTCTCACATTCCACCTTGATCATCTCCAGTTCCTCCTTAGTGTCATCATGAGCAGATTTCTCATCTTGGAGTTTGCGCTCTACACTGTCTACTTGCTTCTGAAGAGCAGCCAGTTGCGCTCCAAAACCCTGCAAGTACAGACGGATCATTCAATCAAAATATTTTTATAAACAAAAATCTAAAACAGAGTTGCCTCCAACTGCATTTCGTACTTTCATACTGCTGCCTCATTTTGAACATGACTCAATATTAAATATCTTAAAATATGAATTATTTTTGAAACAAAATAGCAGCCCTCCCCCCCCCCCCAAAAAATGGGAATGAACTGTACCTCCACATCATCATCATCAAAGTCCAGATTTGCTAATGCAGCAGCTGTTGCAGCTGCTGCTGCCCCTCCCCCTGATTCCATCTCAGCTAGTCTCTCTTCCAGCTGTTCTTTTGTTTGCTCCAATTCTCTTATAGTCTCTTCTTGCTCAGAATTTCTCTCTGTAAGCTGTTCATTTTCCTCCTCCAGTTCTTGGATGCGATCCTCAAGGTCTTGAATTTGTTGGGAGCTTGCTGGACCTAAGGATAAGAATAAACATACAATGTTTGATTTGTTTTGTACTGTGGATCAATTGGAGCATTCAACGGGTGACACAATCTTCCAAGTCTTCCTTTCTCTTCTTTCTGTCTTTTTGTTTCAATGTTTACAGCCATACTCACCTGTTGATTGTACTGACACCTGTGCTTCTTTCATTGGTTGAAGGTCTGCAGGTATCTGCCCTGTCACCAGTATGGACAAAGCAGTGATCTCTGTCTCATTGGAGAGACAGTTAGTGTTGCACTCTTCCAAAGATGCATACAGCGCCTTGGCCTCTTCATTACTGAAAAAGAAAAAAGAAGTGGATTTTGATCTCATGATATTTTCACAAATTTAAAACAAAAACTTAACAAGCTTCATTTAAACTACTTCATTTTAAACTGGTTATAGATGTGATGTGCAGAATCCATTGTTTAAATAGCAAATGCATACATTTGTGTAAACACAACAACTCTTTTTCCTGTTTGCAAAGCAATACTACTTCATGCTCCTCTGAATTTGTGCATTTCACATCTAGAAGGCATTAATTCCGGGGCACCTGAGTTCAAATATCTGGCCTACCACTCACCTGTCTGTCTCCTCAGGAGAGCTGCCATGTTCCTGATTGTAGTTTTCTACCCATAATTCCAAGTCCTGTTTAGCCTTGTCCCTCTTTGCCACCAAGTCTTCCTTCTCAGCTTTTGCATTCTCCAGTTTTGCAGCACTGTCATCAGCAGATGAACCCTGAATTGCAGACTAAGAAGAAAAAAATAGACAAAATAATAAACACTGCATGCACTCTGTGCATAATCAGCAGATGGCATTTTGAATCACTTGTGAGAGCTATATGTGAGGGGACACGACACACTGCGTGTGCGCACTGGTTTGTGTGCATGGTTTGCGTGCATGTGCACAAACCTGCAACGTCCTTGCATGAGCACCAGACCTACAGCAGCATTGTGTTGAAGTTCCTCCCACCTCTTTGTAACCAAATGAAGGGAAGACTTGTACACTGAGTTCACAGCATCAGCCTTCAAGGTATACTCGTTGTAGTGCCCAAGACAGATACAATTGCTAAAATGCTCACAATGTGAAGTGTCTGGGTCAACTACATCAGCCTGAACTGCCCTCTATTGACAAACAGAGTCATGTGACCTTCATATGAAGCTTACCTGAGCAACGACTGCTCCAAGAATCATCTTGAGATGTTTATCATCTTCTCCTGATCCTCTATCTGTATGTTTCTCCTTCTTGCCTACTTTCTTCTTCTCCTTCTCCAATGTCTTCATCTTCTTGTCTTTATCTCTCAGACTGATCTCCATTTCCTTCAGGCGAGTCTCCAGTCCGTTTACTTGTTCCTGAGAAGCTGTGAGTGCAGCTACAGTTGACGGATCAGGAATCACAATCTGTGAATTAGAAATAAAAACGAATTAATTCAGAAGTTGCGAAAAGAAAAAATTTACATTCTGTAATCTTCGGTCCAGTCTGCTGTCAGATGAAGTAGGATGCCAACATAACAGACAGCTCTATACTAATCATTCAGCTGTAACAAACATCTCCTTTGGCTCCAAACTTTGTGAACCATGTAAATGAGCACCGGCAGGCGAATTCACATTAACGAACAACCAGTATATCATAAAAAAAATTGTTTGTGGGTAATGTCTGATAAAGTGACCTTTAACATAAAATTAGTTCTTGAAGAGCAAGACGTTGCGTACCTCTACAGTTTTGACGACAGGTTCAGGTATGCTTGCAGGTTGCGTGTCAGGTGTCTTGCCCTCTTTGAGAGCAATTAATGTTGCCATCTTGGAATCCAACTCATTCTTCTTAGTCTCTGCCTCTGAGAGCTGAGTCTCTAACTCACGTACAGTCTCTGATCTGTGGATGTACAGTATTTAATATCACTGGATAGAGTAAGTTCTAATCCTGTCTGTTTTTTCCCCATCAATCACCAAAAAAATTAAATTATTTCACACCAACCACCTCCCTGTTATCCTCTATAGGGCTTATTTTAATTTGTTTCTTGAATTTTTTTACTACCTGATCTCCAACAGTCATGTAGACTATAATAACCAATTCTTTCTAACCTGCTACCTCTTTTTCTCTGTCCGTTCTCATCTTGTCCGTTTCTTCAAATCTCCCTTCCATTATCCAATCACCCAAGATCCTCATAACTCCTTTCCTCTAACCACTTACCTATCGTCCTCTGTGGGTTCCCTTCCCATCTGTTCCTTGAAGTCCACCTCCCATTGTCTGATTTCCTCCTTCAGTTGTTGGCTTTCTTCATCCATGATTTCCTGATCTTTCTGAGTTGCTTCTACTTGTCCTGAGATCACTCCATCGTTATCTTCCTTGGCCAGAGATGCTAGCGTTGCATACTGAGCCTGGATGAAATCGTACTTTGTTTGCAAAACCAAAAGATCCTGTGGTTTCCATTGAAAAGAAGAAAAGTACTGGTCAACCAATCCAATATCTACCCATACACAAACAAATCATGTTTAAAGCTTAAGTGCATTATACTTCAAAGTGCCAAATCTCACCTTACACATTTGTGACAAGGCAACATGTTTGCTAACTTTTAAGTCTTTCAAACTCAGCAAAGCAAAACAAGGCAAACTTGGTCTCGTTATTTCTTATTTCCAAAAGGTCCGGAGTGTTAGCTTTTTGTCTGAGTCAAGTTAGACCAAGGTTACCTTCTGAGATTGTATCAACTGTTTCTCCATCTGTGCTCTCCGATCATCCAATCTCTTTCTTTCAGCCTCAGATATCCCACTGCTGACTACAGCTGCAGTTGCTGCCACACCCAGGCTTCCTCTCACGGATCCAGTCGCTGATCCCCTCCTTCCTTCCGATCGAAGACTAGTCTGAGATGTCCGTCTTGCTGATGATGCTCGCTGTGTTTCTCCATTGATTGTGACCGCTTTGATGTTCGAATCAGTGATGATGGACACAGCAGCAGCACTTGCTCTTGCCTCTTCTAGATCAAGTCGTAGTTTCTCAACTTCTTCTTGGTGTAATTTCTTCTCGGCCTCTAGTTCTGACTGCAAATTGTCTTCCAGGAGCTAAGTGTAGAATTAAGATTCATTCTAGGTTATGGCGTTGAATGTAGGTATTTTTGAGTAGATACGAAGTAATAGATTAGAAAATGCTTGGTTTCAGTCATTCTTCCATTGTAGCAGCAAGATTGCGTTGATTACCAACGAAGTAAATCAACATCACAACGTTCTTGTTTAAATTGGAAATGCAGAAATAAAAAAAATAAGATATGTTAAAATGAATACATGAATCTAGTTGACTTCAATACTTCCTCCAATTAAATGGCCAGCATTTCTTTTGGAAAGTGGCCATTGAATAAAAAAAAGGGCTAACTAGATAGGCCTTAGTCATATTTGCTGATTTTAAGTTCATTCATTTGGAGTTTTCACAGTAATCTTACCTTCTTTTCTTCCTCTAATCCTTTTTGTCTGGATGAAAACGATGACTGGTTTTGATCCAACTGTTGTGTGAGTTCTTGAGTCAGTTCTTCCTGTAATATGAAATGAAAAGTGATGTTAAATTTTACAGCAAAACTTTTCACCAAGTTGAGCACAAATCTAATAAGATATTTCAAACAATTCTAACATCGTCTTGTGACATGGGGTTAACTTGTAACCCCAACCTTACCATATCCTCCAAAATCATCTTTGCAAAATGGAGGATTTTGTAGGATTGAGGCTATATGGCAAAAACGTGTAGCTGAATTTGGAGGATGCACTGTGTCAAGGTCTTGGGCCAGATCTTGTGTTGTTAATGCTCAGTCATGCTGAATTTAGGCCTAGATTAAACTTGAAATCATCCGCACTGCTCGAGGATGTCACTGGCTCTGCCTCAAGATATTGCCTCTAAGACCACATTCAAAGAAGTAATGGATGATTTTGGAGGATTGGGGCCGTATGCAATTTTTACATGGAGGCAGTTGGAGGGATTTTGCAGGATCGAGGTTGCATCCTAGCAAAAATGTCTAGGGAGTTAGGGTTAATGTAACAATTGGTGCTACAATGTAGCAGACGTACCTTTTCCTTCTCCAATCTGTCAATTTCAATCTTGTTGATGATGAGTAGTTTCTTCTTCTCTTTCATCAGAGCTTTATTTCTATGATTTAAACTCTGAAACAACAAACATCCAAGTTTTAATTTATCGCTCTCATTTTAGTCAAAAGAAACTTAATGCTGGATTTACAGTTCACCAAAACACTCATGGTATAACTCAGCCACTATATATAAAGTTATAAGTTATTACCGTCAATGTCTCCTCCCAGTACGTCTTATGACTGCCAAAATCTTCTCGATGAATCTCAATCACTTGACGGAACGTTTTCACTTTGTCTTTGTACTGGACACGAAGACCTCCCACAAACATATTGAACTGGGTCTGGATAAAACAAAAAGAAATTAATAAAGTTGTTAACCTGTGATACAGAAGCACATGTACAGAAATGGAGTTGTGATTAACCACGGATATGGAAGAACAGAAAACACGTTAATTGCTTACTTGGGTCTCATCTTCAATGGTCTTGTAAGTGTCTTCTATTTGACCAACGATACGGAGATGATTCATCTTCATCTTCTTCATATCATCCATGACCTTAGTCAAACAGTCTCTTGCGTAGACATAGGGAACATAAGCCTGCTGCTCATGCTCCAACTGTGGAGGCTTCAAGAGAGGACTGGTTCCTGACACAAGACTACGATTGTCTACATAGAAAGAGGCAACAGTGGACGTGTCAAAAAGAATTAGAAATGCTATCCCAATCATTTTTCACTTAATAAAATTCTTTGATTCGGTATTGTAAAACTACATTTATTTCATTAGTCTATTCAATAATTATATTAAGAAACATCAAGACAATACTACTTTACTCACCTCCATTGTTCTTGTGCTCTGTAGCCCTGGTCTTGCTCCCTGACTCCCCAGTCTCATTCAACCCATCAACTCGCTGGTTATCATCAGCTTCTCTCACACTGATGACAGACTGAGCACGAGATGCACTAGCAGAATGAGTCCCCACCCCTGGGGATCGATTGCGTGTCTGTGGGGATTTAGCTCGGGTCATTCCGCTTGACTTGGGTCGTGCTGGTGGTGCATCCATGGGTATCTGACTGATGTCATGCATGCTGGACATACTCCAGGCTAAAAATAAACAATTAATAATTGAAATTGTAAGCCAAGTTATGGATAGTCTTCTAAAACTTACTTTGCATGCCCTGGGGTCTCTTGACTTGTAAGTTTTCATTATCAAGAAATTTTTCAAACGTTTTTATTTCTTGGCAATACTCTCAAGAATCTACTACAATTAATTAATGCTAAATCAGCCACAAACCATTCAATTTCTCTGGCAACCCATTGTTTGTGTTCAGCATATGCTCTGCAGCTCCATATCACTTATCGGTGCCCCATGACTTAGGATACGGAGCAGGGTTGTCCTAGAAATGTTATGACTTACCTTCACTTGGCCCTTTCTTCTTAGGTTCTGGATGTGTCTCATCACTGACTGACATTGATACATCTGCATCATCATTGACAGGTGTCACAACATTTCGTTCCTTGCGTCGTCTCCTCTTCTTTCTTCCCTCCTCTTGTATGGATCCAGCATAGCTGTCTTCATCAAAGGGACTGGTAGACCGCGCATAGGAACCAGCTTCGCTTGCTGGTTTACCTAGGAGCTCAGTATCTCCAGAATTCACAATGTCTTCCTTGAAGTCCAACTCCTGAGTAATAATAGAGATCATGCCCCATTACTATTTGGCCTCAAACAAACGTAACGCAATCAATTCTTGGTAAAAGAAATTATTTGATTAGATACAATGAACAGCTGAAAATAGGACAAAATATAACATGTACTAGTTGTACAAAAAAAACAGCATTGAAGATAATTGCTACTACAACTTCCTGGCAATAATGTCTGACCTCATCAGTGAAGTCCATCCGATCACCATCCTCGGCTTGTCTGACTGACACCATACTACCCCCATGACCTTTCAGGTCATAGGTTACATGTTCCTGAGGCAGCTTCTCAACTTCTGTCACTTGATATGCAATATTCTCAACTCCCAATTTTTCCTTGGCTGTTGGATTATCATCAAAGTCCTCAACCCAAGCTGCAAAAGAATATCATAAATATAAGTAAAATAGAATAAATAAAACAAGAGAATGCGAAATACAAAAATATGTTTAGCGTCCTGCCTTTATGAAAAAAAGGAAGTGGGAGGCCCTCCAAAATGGCAACAGATGAAGAGGTCACAATGATGTCACTGTTGAAAATTTATCATTTTTCGGTTGAAAAAAAAAAGGATGCGGCCTCCAAAAAGGAAGCAGGCAGGGATTCTAATTTTTTTTTCTTATTTCGACTAAATAATGGACATTAGCTCAACAGAAACTGCATCAAATAATGCATATTACAAATAATGAAATTCTCATCTTATAAACTTGTTGCTATCATGTAAGATTCAAAACATAACGTTTCTTTGACAAGTTAGTTGGACGAGTGTAAAACATCTTCACTACATGTACTGTACTTCTGAACCGTTTTTGGTATATTGTCAAAATTACTTTAGTTAAAAAATGTTAATTGGAATTTAATAGATACTCACAGTTATGAGACAAGGAGGAGGTTGGTCTATCTGGTTCATCTGTAGGGATAACCTTTGTCCTCTTGTGTTTTGCTTTCTGCATAGTAGCCATCCTGATTCATGTACACTACACAGTGAAAGACCATTCATTAAAGATATAGCATGAGTCAAGATATCACAAACTGATTTTGTTTTATTAGTTTTACTACTGGCCACTGAATGTGTAGGCCCTACTATTTGACACCATTAAAACTACACATGAAAAGGAATATGTATGTGAAATTCTCTATTACCAGGGCTACATTAATGTTTCATAAATTATGCGCCTATCAAATGCTTCAATATTTTCTCTGCTGTGCTAAATTGAACTTTGTAGGACATCGCTTTCTGATGGCTGACTGCAGGGAAAAATTAGTTGATGTCCACGACCAACTTGATGTATGAAATTATTCCCTCAAACAAGTTTGTTGGAAAATACTTTGGAAATGCACTCGACTCACTAGCACTACACAACAATACACCTGTCACTGTCAGTCATGATTGTCAGTGTCAATATCATGTAGGAATGATGTAGTTTTTTTTCCCCCACTGACAAGTGACATTTCATTGAATTTGATTTTGAAAAAAAGTTGTTATATTACTACGTGTACAAACCCAGTATAAGACTGGTCTGAAAAATTTTAAGTGTTTTCCAACTAAATTCTTTAATATTTTCCCTGCTAAATTTCACTTTTACTTAGGACATGTTATCCCTCTCTGGATGGTTGATGATGAGTCATTGCAGGAAAAACTAGTTAGACTAGTGGCGTACGTATAATTTTATATGGAATTCTTTGCCAAGACGATTAACTTTGATCTGCTTCCCGTGGGCCAATTAAGTCATGCAAGTGCAGCAAGCGCAGCTGCAGCGGCCCCCTGGCTGGGGAAATTCTTGGCTGTCGCCCGCTGCCCCGCGCCGCCCCCGTGCGCAGTGGCCAAGCGCCATGGGTACAATCACGTAGCAATTAGCCAGACAGCGGACGCAGACGGAACCGCGGACCGAATTATGGTCAAACACCAACTTGCCATGAAATTAAATCTTTCAACCTACCTTAATCACTTTTAAAAGGAAGCCTTAGGAAGATCATAGTGTGCAATATATTGGAGTTAAATTCCGTTTACGTTACGTTCAATTGTCGTAGTCGTCGGAAAATGGCCGCCATACTTGCTTAAGTTGCCAGGCGAATGTACACTTGTTTACTAGCTGACGTCAATCTTTATTTGTTATGTAAATTCTTTATGTAGACATGCAATTTCAGCCGCGCAACATTTGTGAAAAGTTCTTCTCTTTTTTTAATTTTCCATTGTATGATTGTGAAAAAAACATGTGAGCAACGAAGGAATAAGCTTAATTTAATTGGTTTTTAGCATGGAGGTAGGAAATAGGAATCCACACCTGTTGCTTTTAATTCTCATGCATCGACCATGGCATGATTAACCATGAAATTCTATACCTCCATGGATTAACATGTAAAGCTCCCAGCTCCCTAAACTTGTCGCTATAAACGAGTATAATTTAAACTTTTTTTATTCCGAATAATTTTGTTAAATCTTTTTGTAGGAATAGTTGTTAACGAAAGTTGCCGGTGGTTTATTATTATATTGGGGGCCGGGGGGGGGGGGGGGATACGGTCTCCGCGCTAAAAATAACTTTGACGCACAGCGCATGCGTGACATGCAAAGCGTTGCGGATACGTGTTGACATCCTTAGCAACCGGCGCGACGAGGCGATATCGGCGATTCTCGAGATCTCATGCTCAGTTAATTCGTGAAAAGTGAAATTTGCTTCAAAATTCGGGGTTACACAAAGCCGGTTTCGGTAGCTTTGGAAAGATCTAAAAGTTTCTCAAGACGTGTAGGATGGAATTAACTGGAGAAACTGTTAAATACGGTCGCAGGAAAGGGCAATCAAGAGGTAAGTGTTGAGGTTGAGCTTTCAAGCTTTCGAGTCAACTCGTACCTTGGGCAACTCGTACCTTGGACAACTCGTACCTTGGACAACTCGTACCTTGGACATCTCGTACCTTGGACAACTCGTACCTTGGACGACTCGTACCTTCAATTAAGACGACTCGTACCATCAGAATAAAAAGTAGAGTACGTGCGTGACATGACTCCGAAACGATACGATTCTTTTCAAGTCAAAGTTAATTTTTATCCCACAGAACCACATTCAATATTTAATGGCTTTGCCAGGCAGCGTGATTTTCCGCGTTGGGCCTGCCGCAGGCATGGCAGGGCAACGAAATTGACTGCCGGGCCGGCCTCCGAGGGCGCGCACGACCGACCGCTGCTCGCGGTACCGAAAAATTGCGGTAAACATAGTTTTGGGATGAAAGTATATCAATTCCGTAATACAATTTTTTGAAATTTTTTAAGTAGGCCTAAGTCTCTAAATGCCATTGAAAAACGGCAAACTGCAACAATGGCACGGACGGTCCGACTTGTTAAAATGAAATCAATTAATAACGGTGGACTAGCAGCAATTGTCTTTCGAGCAGCGCAGTGGTTCATCAGAAAACCGCAGTTTCATCTGTAAAAAAAAAAAAAAAAAAATTGCGGTAAACACATAGTTTGGGATGAAAATTAGTATTTCCTAACAAAATTGGAAATATTTGCCAGTCCAAGATTCACGTCTTATCATTTTTGCGGTGATAATATATATGAAGACAAAAGTAGTTCAGGCGATTATAGGGATCAATAATAGGAAAAATGTTGCAACCTGACGCCACTTTTTTTCTTCATATATATCATCTCAATGATGGTCATTCGTTGCAAAAATGATGGTAAGACGTGAATCTTGGATAAAAACATCAGTTCCATAATATTTGCACGTAGCCTAAGTCTCTAAATGTAACGGCAGACTGAATCAAAAATGTCACCGTGCACAGACGTCCATATTAACCGTTCAGCGCGGCGCAAGAACCGTGTAACTTTGCACGGATGGCTACCGTAGGTTGACCGCAAACGACCGCGTGGGCCTGTGCATGCCGCGCACACAGTGCGTGTAACCTGCCGCGGCCGGCTTCGCGCTAAATAAATTCCTCTTTTGGAGGGAAAGAGAGCCCATACCAAAAAGAGATTCGCCTTTATTTTAATAAGCAGTCCACTTTCAATGAGTTACGGTCCACTTTATTCAGCCTCGGATCATTATCCTGACTGACGGTACGACTTGACTTACGCGTGATGGTACGAGTCGTCTTAACTGAAGGTACGACTTGCCGAAGGTACAATTGTCCAAGGTACGACTCGGTATAATGACGTCGAGTTGAAGGTACGAGTTGTCCAAGGTACGAGTTGCCCAAGGTACGAGATGACCTGTTACCCATTTCAACATGTCAAACTTCTGAACTTAGTTTTTACGACACGGCAAGAATTGTTGTGTACGACGTGTACGGTGTAGTCGAGTCATTGACTTGAGGCCACACTGCGTGCAGGGACGCCCCGCACAAAAACCTCGGCGGTTGTGTACAAAGTCGATTTAGTATGGAGAGTCAAGAAAATTGTCTTTAGTATTTCCTAACAAAATTGGAAATGTTTCTCAGTCCCAGATTCACGTCTTATCATCATTTTTGCAACAACTGACCTTCAACATTTTGTTCATTGAGATTGATACTGATACTAGGGGGGCCTATGCCATAATATGAAAAAAAAGTGGCATCAGGTTGCAACATTTTTCCATCAAGAAATTTGTTTCTCATATTCCCACTCCCAGATTCATCATTTCATGTCTTCAACATTTTTGCAAAATCCTAATTAACACGATACAGGCTAGGGGCTACATGAAAAAAAAGGGGGCATCTGTTGCAACATTTATGCCGGAGCTACCAAAGTGTTGCAGGTACAATTAATTGTCCCCCCCCCCCCCCCCCCCGAAGACTGAATATAAACACATTTATTACAATGTGACAGGTTCAACACCTCCTTCTGGTGCCAATGACAAGTCAAGATTACCTACAGAGGAAGATCTGCGTCAAGTTACCATCCTCTCACAGGGAGATTGGAACCGCATCGCTGCTCAGCTAGAGAAGAAATCCAGAGATGAGGAGAAGAGGAGAGCACTGAAAGAGGAGAAAGAAGCGCTGAAAAAACGATCCCAAGATATGGTTAAGAATTGGAGTAACACTATCGCTGTAAGTACATGTAATTGTAGCAGTCTGTGAAGTTTGAACTGGCCAACAACAATATTCCAAGTCAACTTGAATAGAAGGTGACTTGGATTATTGTTCTTGGACTTGTATGATGTTTTCACTAAACATTTGAACTTTTTGTTCTTGTTTAATTTTAACACCCCCCCCCCCCGAGAACTAATACAGTATTATACACACTTCTTGAAATTGAATGCCAGCTGCAGATCCAAAGGCTTTGCTTCAACTTCTGAAAAGGCTCATAAGAAAATACATAATCGGATTGTATTTGAGTATCTTGCTACATTTTTAAAACTAGTTTTCTTGATATTTTTTTTCTGACAGGGTCAGCGTCTGAAGAAACTTGAAGCAAGAGCCATAAGGGAAGAGAAGGAAGAAGCAGAGAGAGTACAGGTTGATATTGAGGAGGCCAAGTACCAGGCACAGTGTAGGAAAGAAGCTATCGAGAAAGCCAAGACACTACAATACTATCAGACTGATAGAGTCAAAGGTTTCCATGTAAGTGTACTTAGCTAACAAAATTAAAACATGTAAAAATGTTCAGTGTTAAAGGGCTTTATGTAGTCCGAGTATCAACTGTTGTCCAATGGAGCCCTCTCCGTATCCAATGTCTGATATATCTCGGCAATGCAACTTTTATGCGACCCCATGCACCAGCCTATGGAGAAGACTTCAGAAATTGTGATGTCATTTCGATCAGAAATGTGGACTATAAAGTTGCATTTGATTGTTTATGGTCAATTTGATGACATTTTTTGTTATACATTGTACAACAAAAAAGGGTTACCGAAGTCCAGATAGAAGGCGCCTGCTGAATGGTCAGAATCTCGAGGACAAGCACAGTCTTGGTTTACATAATCGCCAAATCTGCTTGCATATCAAAGTGCTGTGCCAAGGTCTACTCCATAGACTTGGCTGCTAGGATGATTTCTGTACTAATGTAAATATCACTTGTTGAAGAAAACATCCGTTATTATTATCCAGGGTGCATTGCTGTTAACTGAAGTCTTGAAGGAGCGAGAAGCCCAGATCAGCCTGAAGACTCAGCGGGAAGCAGCTCTGTCTGGACGAGACAAGGATCTCCTAGCTCGATATCAACGAGACCTTGAGGAAGGAATCTTAGAAGATCATAGGAAAGCTGTCAAGGCAATAAAAGAAAGGAAGAAAGTGGCCGAGTTCCAACTCAAACAGTAAGTAAAATTATTGTAGCCAGTAAAACTGAACTTAAACAGAATTAACATACAACAGTCCATTTTACTATTTGTAGCCCAAGTTGTGCAAAGTCTCAACGCTAAATCTAAAAAAACATTGCTGTGAGAATGATAGAATGATGCTTGAAAAATGCACATTTCATTGTCCCTCGTTTACTGAGAATAATAATTTCTTTCCAGAGTTGAGAAGCACATTGCAGATACAGAGAGGGAGATTGTAGAAGACATTAAAGAAGGGGAAGATCTCAAACAGCAAGTCCTTCATTACAACACTGAGAAAGCCAAGATTGAAGGCATCCGAAGACAAGAGAAGGTTGATCTCATGAAGGCTCATAAACAGACTGTAGCTGACAGGGATCTGATCCGAGCAGCAGAGGGACAGAAAGAAGAAGAAGAAGAGGAACAGATCAGGATCTTTGCAGCAGCTAAGAAGAAGATGACTAAACTAAGGAAGTTGAGAGAGCAAGATCTGTGGCAGTAAGTAAACATATGAAGAAGGGGAGCATAATGAGAATGGACTGTTCTTATATTGGCTAGATTGATCTTGTCTTGTAGTTAATGCAAGGGGCATTAACAGTCATCAAGAATATAATCTTCATGTTCTTGGGGGAAATAAGAATACCCCCAAAAATGGATGAGATGATAAGGATCTATATGTATACTTGGACATGTCAGGTTATGTAAAATTGTACCAAAAGATTCTGATTTGTACATTATTTTCCTAGCAAAAAGCAAGATCACGTTAATCAGATGGTGGACAAACTGGATGGTCAACTTAAAATGAAGATGGATGATGAGGATGATCGCATCGCTCGGGCTGTGGAGGAACGAGAAGCAGCCAGGGAGAAAGAAGCCATGGAGAAACAGCTTAACCTAGAGAAAGATCTGAAAGAAGAAGCAGAACATAGGATGCTACAGATGAAACAAAGAGAGCAACAAGAACGTGAGGAGAAGAGGAGGGAGCTTGAGGCACTTCATGTCAAGATGGAAGCAGATAAGCTGTTCGCTGCCAAGCAAAAGGAGAAATATCAGCAAGCTAGAGACGGTAATGCCAGGCTGGCCAAGTTCCACATCAAACAGGCTGGAGAGAGACAGGAGAAGACGCTTAAAGAAGAGGAGGAGAAACTGGAAATGGATAAGAAAAATCTCGAGCTGCTTGCCATGGAGGAACAACAGTTCCAAGAGTATGCCAAAAAGGTTATTGATCATTGCGAGAAGGGTGAGAGGAATACCTATCCGCTACGGAAGGCTGCCAGAGAGGGGCATGGTGGGGGGTTGGGTCCAGTGTTTGAAGGGAAAGGAGGTATCCGTCCGAGTTATTTAGTCAATGATTACACTGATGTTGAGTTGCCTCATTATCAGAGGAATAGCACAGATGCTGTGAAGTATTCTCATGCAGGAAATACAAGCAAAACTTCAAAGAGGCTAGGATTTGTGTGGTAAAAAACTCCAGGCGGAAACTGTGTAAATACATGTACATGTATATAGATGAAGTGAATACAAACTTGTTTTTTTATGTACTCAATTTTTCTTAAAGGGTGCTATTCTCAGTCATGGTGGTAGATATGCCCGTTTGTCAGTTCAGCACATGCAAATGCACAGAATTCTTGCTCGTTTAGTTAATGGATGCAGAGATTTCGGGGGATTTAATTTCCTCCTTATTGTATATTTTAATGTTAAAAGAGGGACTTGGCATACATCCTCCAGAATAACAGTTAAATCCTATTCTTGTATTCATGTTGTATACATGTGTACATAGCAGTTTTTTTTTCTCTTAAAATGGGCAAATATGTAAATATTGTATTGGAGTACATGTAATTGCTTCGGATCAGATGTTTAAAATTTTATCATTGAAGGGGAGGATGCACTATTCAATTAACTGTGAATCCTTGCAAGTTTGTACATGTACATAAAACTAAATCCATCCTTGTTGCTAGTTTTTTTTTCCAAATAAGGTTGTCATCCTAAATGTACATTAGACCGATTATCTTTCCAATGAACACATATCAAAATTGGACTCTTGCTTCTTTTGATGTTTTTAAATTCAGTTACCAAAACGAATACGTGAACACATACTAACCAAATTGGTTGAAGATAATTTGATATTTATATACATGTATGTGGTAACCAGTGCTTTATGAGTGGATTAAAAGGTTGCTTTTTTCAAGCATTTGTTGCTAATAATAATAAAATATGAAAAAAGAAATGAATATCAGTTCCTTTGTACAGTGTTTTATTTCACTCTCAGAGCATCTCAACAACAAAAAACCCTTATCAATTTTATAGTTTTCAAAATGAGTATTAACAATAAATATATACATATATAAATGTGATTTTAAAATTAGTTAGATTGTAAGGGACCTTCGGAAAAGTGATTGAAAGTACATGTACACCTGTTAAATTTCTTGACGTAAAATATCTGTTATTTACAGTGCATTATACAAATCAAAGTACAAAACTAAAGGAGTACATTTTCCACATGACTGCATTGTTTAAGTGATTTTATATAGAACAAAAAATAAAAATTAAAGAATTGTGTCTAAATCTCTGTATAAAATGAGTAAATCACTGCATAATTGTTGACTTTTACGATATATGTATCATCTTTGGTGAATTTAATTTACAAAGACCTAAAATTCAATATGATATAAATAAGACTGAAATTTCTAATCTAGAGACATCATCAGAATATCAAATGGGAAATTAAGCAACCAAACTTAACTCATATGTTGCAGGGAACAAAATGTAAAAACAATTGTCACAATCTTTTAGTACTAATAAAAACACAACTACGATGTACTCACAAAGCAACACTGCACACGGCTAGGGCGCACATAATAAGAAAGTTTGGTTCACGACTACATTATACAATAATACTTAAACACTTGTACATTTACAAACATCTCCTGTACATTTCAAAATGCCTGAGATTTCAAGAGTTCACAACTATGTATGTTGGTTCTAAATATTTTGGCACTTTTGGTTTCACAGAGAAACTGTAAATCACAGGAAAAAAATAAAGCTGCAGCAATTTGTGATTTCAGTTTTCTTATCTAAGATGATCAAACTCCTTTCCTCCTATAGTCTGGTGTTTTCTTATACTCCTCGTACAAATAAAGGCAGTCGTCAATCACAAAACTGTGAAGAAATCACAATACAAATATGGTGATAATATATGGTGGTGTCACTCTTGAAATCATGTACCAATTTATCCATATCTACAAGGAGCTACCCCCCCCCCTTAAAAAAATTACATGTACAAGTACATGTACATTGTGTATTAACAGACAAGATGTCTCGAATCCTTTTTTATAATGTCTAGCAAATACAATGTACATGTACATTCATGAGCAAGTAAAGATCTTACCTATAGAAAACAAATGCAAGCGGTGCAGTGCCTCCATGCCATATAGAATGTGCATCAAAGACCCACCATACTGGTGGAAAGTCGAAGACTTCAAGAAGAGTTAATAAGTTTCCTGACAGAATAGAGAGGGCTACTTTCCATACGTATGGCTGTCTTGAACGAACAATGATGGACCAGAGTAACCACGCAACTGAACTGACTATTGCTGTAGAAACAAGAAAGTGATATAAATGACAAAATAAAAGTAAAAATTATAAAAAAAAATACAGAGTTATTAAACAAAGGTTTAGGTGCTTCACATCTTTCAATGGTCAACTTACCAAATGTTAGATTGACTTTGAGGTTGTAGCTGTAACTAAACTTGGTGAAGCCCAGGTAGAATGCATGAGACAAAAAGAACATGGCAATTGGAGTTACAGTAGGAACAGCCACCTTCATGTTGATTGTATTTCCCTTCATACTAAACACTCTACAAAAGGAAATAAACATGCATAATTAAACATTTCAAATGTCGGAAAAAAACACATACGAGATAAGTTTTCCTTGAAAACATTACTGAGATGTAAACCAGTCTTAGAGTGAAATACATGTGTTATTTGTTCCAAAATAAATATCAAATTCTTCACTAAATTATTACCTTAGAATGAACATCAACATTCCAGAAACAATCAGTGAAAATGCAGATATGTAGTCCATTTTCTGGAAAAGGATTAAAATCAACCATGATTCAAGAAAACAATTTGAAAAACAAATCCCAAACGTTCATTAAAAAAACCCATACATTCATATGCTGCTTACATGTACAATAGTTGTAACTTTTTCACATTTGTATTGAAATCTTCAAATGGTACATTTTAGGAACATACTGAAACAAACAAGTGTTCTTTTTCCAAATTAATAGAAAAACAGTAAGAAAATGTGTTAACCTTAAAGTAAAATCAACTATATCAAAATCTTGAGTTCAATCAACTCAATATGCAAGAAATATTAATATTACCTCTGTCCATGTTACATCTCTGAAATGGAAAACAGTGGACCATACCCACGTGTTGATCTGAACCTAAATAAATAAAACAAAAGTTTGTTTTATTACTTTGATTACAACAACCACTGTTCACACAGATCAGAATGTCCATGAACAGTCTGCAAAAGGCATTGCAATTCTAAAATGTTATCTAAGTTCTGGTTCTCCTTACAGCAAAGTAGCCGTGCCACGCTTCATACATGGGAGCATTGGATGGAACTTGTCTCCTGAATCGACTCAGCATGTAGACTGCAACGGCTCCATTTAGAATGGAGAAGATACAGGATGCCGGTTCCTGCATGCCCATAAAGCGCACAAATGGCCACTGAAATTAAAAAGAGGAAATTCATAAATATATGAGTACATGTACATGTATTATGTAAAATAAACAACGAATTACAAATATTCAAACGCTTTCATTGTCCGCATAATGTAATATTAGACCTCCTTGTTGTGGTAAATGTTTGAAACAATATTTTGAGCTGTTTGACAGTTTGCTCAGTAATAACATGACAATGAAACCTCATTAGATGTATACACATTTAGTGTACAGGCATTTCTTTTGTTGATAAAATTGAAAATTGGGAGTCAGTGCTTTATTTACCTTTCCATAAAACTGTGGAACTCTTTCAACCTCTTCCAAAGCCTTGTGTGTGAGATGCCACATGCTTTCATAGGTACACTCAGACGAGCAGTCCCAACCTAATAACCTCATGGATAGCGGCTGTCTAGTATTGAATCTAGTCAGTTTGGCATCTGTGCTGCAATTCATGTTCAGACAGTGACGCCGATAATTCTGGAAGACCGGATGCTGATCACCCCAAGATGCATTCACACTCGGTGACAGAAGCCAGATTGAGAATAGGCAAAGGAAGGCAACTAGATGCATGGTGGTAGTTGATGGTATCGTCAACTTCATTATCAGTATCTATTACCTATAATATTCAAAGACAAAAAAATTATACAATGTATGTAGGGCCTACTTATTTGATACTTGTTAACATTTCACATTTAAATAACAGCTCATCGATTTGACAAATGAACAATTTTTGGGAGAGGCCATTTTTTTAGGGTCTCTTGCTACCACATGGAAATGCACAAGCCTTCCTCCAGCGTTACATGTGAATGAATATGGAGCATGTCAGCTGGCAATGGCTGGAGTTACTCAAGCTAACTAGTGTTACTGTTAGGGTTTTAAGGGCCCCAATTTCATCCAAATTGAACGGAACTACAACAACTAGTACGAGCGACAGTCCTGTGCACGGGCAAGTTCCACCCATCATGCCCATATTTTTCACTTGTAACCCTCATGGCCCACAGCATGCTCAACTACCACTACTGAAGATTTTGAGGGCATGCAAATCGTGATTTGGCCGGCGTAGGCAATTTCGGACCGATTTACTGGTCTGCAACAACCCCATGCAGTAGTCTGGTAGTAGTAGCAAAGCATGATCTGCTGCAGAATGAAACACAAACAGCGCCCTCATGAATCACCTCAGTCCTCACTCAATAACAATCTCATTCATCATACTATTCGCCTACAGTAAACTTGATTAAAATGCTCAACATGCTCAACCTCCACCATGTCCACGATATCTATCATAAACTGAAACGTAGTGTATTTCTTGGCCTGTTTTGACATTTTTTTTTATAATCAAGAAAAAAGTAACTCACCCCAAAAAAGTTCCGATTCCGATCTAACGTTAGACCTTCGTTACTTCAACGCATGTAGCCCAACAATTTTCATGAAACACGTATGCCTTATCTAAATTGGGCGTCAAAAGAAGCCATTGTACACGAACATATAGCCCAAAACGTGTGCCCTTCACAAATTTGGTGCGGCTTTGTCGATTGGCGTAGAAAAGAAGTAAGTTAAAATTTGACCAATTAAAGCTCGTCTTATAAAACGACCTGCATAAAAAAAAATCGATCTCTGCGCAGGGTTACCGTTTTAGCCGATTTTCGGCTAACTTTGACAGAATTTTTGTTAAAAAAACGAGTTTGACAGAAAAATTTGACAGAATGAATTTTTCTGTCAGATTTCTGGCAGAATTCTGCAAAAATGGTTATTTGACAGAAAACAGCGAATTTGAACAAAAAGGTGTCCATTTTTTTAAAAAAGCTTCAATCCTTTCAAAATACCCTTGCATAATGGGACAGGTTGGCTGGTCTAGGTACTAAGGTTCACTGCGAAACGGATCGACTTGGGCGGCCTGCATTTTAATTGCCCGAAATTTGCCAATAATTTCACATCTTTATGTCACTAGATTGTTTATTATATAATCTGAATCTTCAATTAAGGCAATACTACCAATCTGCATATGATTTTAAGTGTTTATAGTGTATTTGGAGTAATTCTGGGGAATTTTGACAGATTTTTGATAAATCTGACAGCCGGATTTTTGATGCGCATTTAGCAGAATTTGGCTCGGACCTTACGGTCACCCTGACTATGCGCTGTCAATTCACCCACCGAAAATACGTTGGTAATCTCTTGTTCTTAGATTCCAAATGGCAGAGATTTCAGATACAGACGGAAGTTCAGTCCCCAGAGGCCCAATTTTACACATTCTTGTCATTGGATTTCATCACAAAAAGGGATGTCAGGTAAGGCATAAATAATTAAAACGTACGGTGTACAACATTGGTGTATCTGATCATTACTTTAGCTGCAAAGTGCAGCTGTTTGGCGGATAAAAAGGGGGCGGGGTGACAAGGTGGAGGGGGGGGGCAATTTTGGTTTGATGCCGTTGATTGCCATTATTCATAATATTGGCAATCTCTAAATTATTTATAATTAATATTGGAAATCTCCTGTCCTGATTTCACAGTTTACTTTTTTATTAAAATTTTTTTTAAACTTTGGGAAAAAAATGTTGTCCGTAGTCTCGTAGATGCCACTTTTTTTCTTCATACATGTATGTATATCATCTCAATGAAAGTCATTCATTGCAAAACTGATGATAAGACATGAATCAGGGACTGAGAAACATTTCCAATTTTGTTAACATGGTTAGGAGTAGTATAAGAAATACTGAAGTTGCGTCAGGTTGCAACATTTTTTCCAAACTTTCTGTTCTTTCGCCAGTGTCATCAATTATTTAGTAAAAATCAATTAACATTAATTAATACTAGCCTTTAGGGGCCTAGGCCAACTTGTGTATTGTTTTTCTTTGATTGCAAATACAGGTTGATTTCTCATATCCACCCTTGATTGAGGGACAGAGCAGCAGTAGTTCAGATATACCAGCTGAATGGAAACATCTTCCATTTCTTGCCGTACCTGATGGTGCTCATAATTATCTTGAAGGTAATAGGCCTACCTCCATTAAGTGCAATTTGGATACCTTGCACTTGTTTAAACTTGAGCGCGCTAAATTTGCATGCTGCAAATTTTGGCCTGGTTATATTCTCTCATGGCAAATATCTGTAGGAAAACAACTCAGCCTAGTCCTGCCAAATTTGCGCAAGGTTGCCAATTTGCGATCATCTCTGCGCAAATTGTACTGTGCGCACGCAATTTTACATTGTGCAGAGAAATTTGCATGCTTCAGAACTTTTTGCGGATGTTTGAAACTTGTACGCGCAAATTTAAACTTGCGCAAGGTATCCAAATTGCACTCGACACCCCTACTCTAGATTCAAATGGTACACAGCATAGTTAGGCTAACTGCTGTAAATTGTTCTTGAAATATGACAATGTTTTAGCGAATAACCATCTCTGTATTCTATAAAGATAGTTAAGTGAATGGAGTAAATCATTAACCTTTTCCATGAGTCTCCCAGTTTTGACAGGTTTTGAAAAATAGTACAAATAGTACAAGTTACTTTGTGGGTGATTCATATAATTTGTTGATTCAAATATGTTTTTCATGCTTTGGAAAATTGCAGATACCATCTACTTTCATTTACCAGGAAGAGATGAGAAGCGTAATACGATATATGGCATTTCCTGCTATAGACAGATCAACACTGAGGTGGGTAGTGCTAACAAAAAAAAACCACTTGATCGTCCCGGCTTGCATCCTTTATTGACGCCACAATCCTTTTAATTTTTTTTTCTCACCTCCAAAAACTATTTTGTTCATGCATAAATTGGGTAAAATACAAAGAACACTGTTTAAAGGGAATGTACATCATTGGCTTTTGCTGTAATTTTCAGAAATGGAGTATTTGAGGGGTTAGTATAATATATCAAATAGTGTACGTTACACTGACATGTTTGAAGTTTTATGTTCGAAAATGCTGGAAAAACCAAGAAAAACAAAATTGTTCAAGTAGTCTGGTTCCCTGACTCCACTAAGGATGAAATGGATCAATTTATATATGTCAGAAAATTGTAAGGTAAGGGAACCAGTCTAGCTGGCCTGCACCCGTTCATGAACATGTAACCAATACCAAACAAAATTTGGACTGAAAAAAAGCTAAATTTTGAGCAGTAGTTGAAATATAGTTAGGTTTTTCCAACGGTGGTTGGCCGACCACCATTGGAAATGTATACAAAAATACCATTTTCTTGAAAATGACTTCACACCAGGTGCCATAATTTTACAGGATGCTTTAGACTCTCATTTACCAACATCCTAATAAGGTATTTCTTTAAAACTTGGTAGTTTTATTTTTCGATGTTTGCAAATGTTGTATATTCCCTTTAACTTCAATATTTTGACTCTACTTACTAGTAGGATAGCTAATTAAAAGCTGGATGTCATTTTGCACGGATTAGTTGGCAGCCATTTTGAATATAAATTCATGGCAGCCAACTTCGGAAAAAAAAAAAAAACCTCATCCTCCTCTTTTTGAAGAAACCCGGACGATCAACTGGTATTTTTTTTACTTGGCCCAAACTGTATGCACCAATGCATTTGTTTCAAATAAAATTTGAATACATATATTACTTGTTAATAATAGTAAACTTGTACAACAGAGACACCGGACAAAGAAGTAACAAGTCACCATTCAGCTGTTTCAAGAAGGAAGTCTTCCTTAATTTAATTATTTCCTGTGGTATTTTTAGTCAAAGTGCTTAGTATATGTCATGAAAAATAAGGAGTACACGCTTTCTTTTTAACATGGGCATGTGGTGTGGACCTTACACATTTTCAGGAAAGCGTACTTGAAGTCTACGAAAAGAAAATCTTGATAGTTTTTAATTGAACAAACATTTTTAAGGGAATAAATGAGTGCTTGATAATGACCTGAGTTGAAGCAGATGAATATAAGCATCCAGACTCCAATCAGTCTTAAACTTAGTGTTTAATACCAACCAAACACATGTTTATTCCCATTCATAAATACCTTTTCGGTCCAAAAAATTCTAAATTTTCAACCATTTCGATCAACAAAACACCCCTCCAGCTATACAATGGTAATTGGCCCTCTGGTATTAAACAACTCCTTATGGAGTACCGAAGTGTGACGTCATTTAGAACCAGAAAGTGTAGTGCAAACGAATGGAGTACGCACGCGTGTTGGTTCAAGGACTAATGTCTTTCACACGCATTTTGTGCGCGTGACGTATTCACTTTGGTACTCCATAGAGATTGGCGTGAGCGTGCAGCGTGACGTGGCGCACAACACAAATGTATCAGTGTAGAGTGAATTTTAGGACTATGAAATACTGACTCCGTGAACATTCAACTAATAAAACGTTGCTGGTACCGGATTTCACAGAAGTCAAAATTTCATGTGACACTGAAACAGTATATAAAACCAGCCAGCCATTACTCTATCAACCGTTTAGGAACAGGTAAACTGTCGTTCGTATTTATGAATATCTGTTAAATATGGTAATACCACATGCTTTGTCAATTGATATTTAGGATTTGTTGAGTAGAGACAAGGAGTTCACTAGAGGCACTGTGCAGAAGAGCGTCTGTGTGCTTAGCACATTGGTAAGAAAGAAATATTGTTTAGGATATAGTAATCATGTACTTCAGAAATGATATCTGAGAACCTTTTATCATGCTCCTGAATATATGCATGTTGAACTAGTTATTTTGAAAATGCAACTTGTGTCTCGATTCAAATACTAATAAAATGAGCTGTAAAAGTGCTTCCCTTTGCAGGACATTGTAATTGTATTAATCTTCTGACATCAATGACTCATTGGTTGTTTACCTGATAAGGACCTGTTTTAAGTATGGCTTCACTTTCATCTGTTTTGTGGATATACATTGTATACATTGTCACATAACAATGAATGTGAGTAAAATTTGATTTTGAACAGATGGTTATTCAATTGACTCATCTATCAAGTGTCATCTTATATGTGGTCAACATAATCTTCTTTCTGTTTCAGCCGCTGTATGGTTTAATCCAAGCTAAACTGAAGCTGATTACACATGCCTACTTCAGTGAGAGAGATTTCTCCAAAACCTCCATCCTTATAGTGAGTGTTCAATTCTAGCTTTAACACAGGATACATACATTGGGAAGTTTCAAAACTAGAAACTTACCATAAATAAAAGAATAAATTCAAATAATGACTCCCATTTTCAAGGTATATTTATACATGTATGTAACCATGTCATTTAAATTGCTTTGTAAGTTGTGGAAAAGATTTCAGCTCCTATAATTTCTCCATATGCTTGTTCTTGTAGGAGTTGTACACCAGTCTGAACGGTTCTTTGACAACGGGTCAACTAGATGATTCCCAAGCATTCTTGGATCTTCCACTTAGAGATTTGATCCTAACATTCAAGCATAAGGTACATGTATGCATGGCTGAACCAAGGATATGGATGACAGTTGCGTGTACTCACTAACAGTCAGGTGGTTTGGGTATTGTATTATTGCAGTGAGTGCAGTCCATCTTTCATGGTTGCTAGTGATGCTGAGAAACCAACAAATGAATTGTAGCACAGATTTGAAATGTTGAAAACTCCGGTTCTACTTTATTTCAAATTTTGGTTCTATTTCTTTTCCTGTAATTACTTAAAGTCTCAATGTTTAGTTGGTTTAAAACTTCCTAAATTGGGGTGTCGTTTTTGGTTTGTTGTGATATGAATGAACCCTTTTGAAGGTGAACTGAGTAACATGTATATATTTGTTGATTACAATTGTAAGAGTTTCTTATTTTTATCATTTGCACAGGTCTTGGTGTTGTTTAAGTTACTTCTTTTAGAGCGACGTGTGTTGTTCTTTGCTCAACCTGTACACACCTTATGCACATCTCTGCTGTCACTTGTTTCATTGTTTCCAGGTAGGATGAGATTTTTACTGAAATGAAGTCAGTTTAATTCTAATTCTCAGATTTGAGTTTATTGTACCGACAGAAGTTGACCATTAATGTATTTACTCCTGGATATTAGTAAAGTCTGTCACAACTCACAAGCCAATGTGGCCCATCAGGCCGGCATTTGTCTCCGGTTTCGGTACCCCCTGGATGGGATGCTAGTTCATCGCAGGTTACTCCCCAGCTAATGCCGGTACCTGTTTATACTCCTGGGTGGAGAGAGGCAAGTGGGTTGAAGTGACTTGCCCAAGGACACAACATATGGCCAGCAGCTGGATTCGAACACCTGACCCTCTGATCATGTGTCACGAAACCCTAAACACTAGGCCACGCTTCCACTTGATATCACTTTTCAGGCATGCAACTTTTCCTCGGATCCGCTGATTTCCTCGTTTTTTACTTCTCATAATGCCATTACAAATTAAAAAACAGTGTACAAAGTCTTGTGTGGTTTGGAATTTCCTCGTTTTTTCTAAATTCCCAGTGCATGCTTGCCTAAGTCTTAAACCCAAATATTTGAAACCAAATTGAGAAAATTCTGTTAAATGTCTAATGTCTTCATCTCAATATGTTTAAACTTTTAGAGACTTGTTAATTTGTTTTTCCTTACCCACCTCCACTCTCCGGGGATTTTGTGCCGAGAACTAATGTGCAACAGCCAGAAGGCAAGTACTCAACAGAAATGCTGGGTTTTTTTTTTCCAGCTATGATTGAACATGGTCTGGTAGAAGCAGCTTCCTACAAGCACTATCGCCCACCAACTCCATCTCTAGAACTCAACGACTTTGGCATTGATACCAGGGAGTATGAAGATGTCAAGATGTCACATGTGCCTAACTATCGGAAGAAGAAAAGGAAGAACAAAGACGCACAGGAAAATACTGTGACTGATGAAATCCCAACATCTTCAATCAGTCCATCGTATGGAGAGAATCCAACTGACATGGAAACAACACGTTCGCGATCAGTTGATAGTACCCTAACAAGAGACTCTGCTATACCAGAATCCATTGCTTCATCCTCATCAGTGGAAAAGGGAGACTCTCGATCTACAGACCAACAAGATAACATTAGCAAAATGGGCTTCCAAGAAACAAGCAGTGCTGAGCAAATGGAGAAAACACAGGAAAGCGCAAGGAGTGAGACATCCAACATTTCATCCAACTCTGAGCAGGAAGACAATAACCAAACTCCTGTCTCTGCTAAGGCACTTGAGGAGGATCTGTTTGCAATGATAGATCAAGAATTGTATGGTCCGTATTTTGAAGGAAGAAAACTGAGTGAAGGTGATCTTGAAAATGAGTCTAAAATTAAGTCAGGAACATCACGTCAAGGAAGTAAGTCAAGAGATAACTCAAACAGTGACCCCAACCAACACCAAAGTGGAATCGCAAAGGAACCTCCCCAGGAAGTTGTCTTAAGAAGGGACACTGATGAGTTTGAACACATCAGTGAAAATGATGCCAGTCTTGTCAGACAGAAGTTGGCAAAAGGTTCACCCGAGGATCCGGAGGAGCGATGCACTCAGCGTTTGAGTGGTGCAGATGATTTTGTCGTCTTACAAAACAACTGCCCATCGATGTCAACACTTAAGGCAGATGATTTTGGATTTCCACTCTCCTTGTTTGGAAAGGTAAAAATATGAAATTGTTTTTGTGATTGCAGTGTTACATTATAAAAAAAAAAGTGGAGAACAATTTCTTTTCTTTTTTCCTGATTTATTTTTCCGGTAGGGTTCTTTGTGTCATCCCTACATGGCCCTACAGCAGCATGATCTTCTTAAAGATGTCAACGTACGATGCTTTCTGATTGGTGCATCTAATATGCTCTTTAAGCAACGCCGACATCTTATAGATGTTCTTGTGGAGGTAAGGTTGCTCAGAAGAAAAAAATGGCTCAATTTTAAAAACAAAAATCAGTCTTTATTGATTAGATTAGTGTTTGTTTGTTCTTGCCTCACTGATTCAAAAATTGGTCTTTGAATAGGCTTGATTTTGATTTCCAACCTCTGTTAAGGTGGAGGAGGGCAAGGTGATTGTATTTGATCCTGAGCTTCGTAAACAGCTGAGCTTGTCCACTGCTGACTTGAGATTTGCTGATTTTCTGATCAAGAGTGTTTCTGAGAAGAGTGAGGATATCTACTTAGATAACACAGGTCAGGTGTTGTAGCATTTTTGTAAGTCACCCATCTTAAGTTAGGGTACATCATTTGTCACTTGTGCATTTTTTGTTTGAAGCAACAAAAGTGCTTAAAATCTCAAGATGGGTGCTGAACAACTAACCTGATGAGTTTTAGCTCTGTGAGTGCTGTGTATTCCGAGAAAACAAAATTCTAGTTTCTCAGTTTCAAATCAAAAGTTGCTGAGTCATGTTTTGAATTGCGCCCAAAATCAGCGTCTGGGACCATGGGCGTCGCGAGGGGGGGTGGGGGCAAGGGGGGGGGCACTTGCCCCCCCCCCCTGGAAAAGCAAAAAAAAAAAAAAAAAAAAAAAAAGGAAGAAAAAAAGAATTTAATGAGTGGGGGGGGGGGGGGGGCAAAATGTCCCTGCCCCCCTCTAAAACTGATAAATCGAGAATGTGTTGAGAAATACAAGCATTTTTTGGCCAAACAATTTTTTGCCCCCCTCTAGAAAAAATCCTGGCGACGCCCATGTCTGGGACACGTTATCCTTTAGCCGATTGCAGCTACGTGATGTCACACATTGAACTCACGAATAATATCAAGCACACGCGTGTGTGCATCATGTCAACGCTTGCGTGCACCCATTCACGGATTCACCGAATTACAACGGAATTTCTAAAAATGCTTTACTTGACACATCTTCAAAATGGCCTCCTTTTATTGTTTTTTTTCTCAAAAGGACAGCATGCCAGAAGGAATAATTTCACAGGGTCGTTATCTTGAAACAGTCATCTTTTCAACTATAATTTTGTCAGTTACTTTTTTGGATAGCTGCAAATGATCTACTCTACCTTTAACCACCCATAATAGCCTGTATAATATTTCTAAGTGCATTGATAACATTGGCATATTCTTAATTTTGCACTTCCTATGAAAACTACTTCAAAGAACTTTTGGAAAAGCATTGTTTAGAAATGTAACACAAAATGAATTTATGGAGAATTTTTTCTTCATTATTAGTTTTTACAATATTTGTTGTCGTGATTTAGGTTGGGAAGGTGGCGAAGAGTGGATACGAGCTCAGTTCAAAGTCTACGTCCTGTCACTGCTTGCAACTGCTCTACATCAACGTAAGTTGGACTTATCCTGATGCAATATATGTACATGTATAACTATCATTTCATTCACTCTGCATTCACATCTCTCAGCAGAGTCTTGGTTAAGTTGAAGTAGCAGTTAAATCACTTTTAAAAGATATAGATGCTTTCCTCCAAATACAGTTCATGTATTACATGTTGTATAAAGAATGACTGGCTTTCTTTGCAGGTCATGAAAAGGATATGAGTGATTTCAATGACCATTTTGTCAATGCTTGGAAGACAACACATAACTATCGAATCTGGATGAGTGAGGAGCATCCTGGGATTGATTTCGTTCTTGCTGGGTATACAACATCATTACTTATTATGGTTTTTTTTGGTTCTTTTATTAATTATATATGTCCCTTTTTCTGGTTTAGTTTCTCTGTTGCTTCTCAACAAATCTTTCTTGTACCTCAAATAAACTATACACATTTATCTCATCAATACTTCAGTTGTCTCCCACTTTGTAGCTGATTGAATTTGGTAAATTGTTCAATAATTGTATTTTAAAGATAAATTAAATTTTTCTGCCTTATTTTGCAGTCACCCGTGTCAGGGTCAGCTCAGCATGCAGGACATGAAAATAAGATTACAAAGGTAATGACTAAGAATTTGATCATTATTGTCAGCGATATTTTAAGCATTATGTGCCTGTTTGTTTCAAAATGTTCTTTCAAATCATTCTGTCTACTAGCCTCATTCAACACCCCTCAGTAGCCCTCACTAGCCACTCCCCTCTCATCAGAACCATACCCCTTCACCCTTGGCTATGGCTAAAATGATATTTCACTGAGTATTGACTTGAAGTACATGTACTTCCAAGTGTCTTATTTTGTCAACACAGTGTGTCTTAAGCACTTGTTAACAAGTAGCAATACTTGAGCGATTCAAAGGTTTTGTGACCTGTACATTTGCCATTTGTCAACAGTGCTATGCAAACCACTGATAGAGGCAAGAAACTAAACAGCGCCCTCAATCGAACTAGTGTGGCCATGGTACACACCGGTAAGGCAGTAGGGGGTGCTCTGAGTAGCGCAAAGTCAGCTGTGTCTGCTTGGATATCCGGTCTGGCATCTGAGTGGAAAGACGATACAAATGAGCACGGGAATACTAAGTAATCAGATATAAGAGGAGTGGTACCAGACCATGATAACTGAAATATTTCCATTCATTTGTGGGATTTTAATTTCTGTTTTTGAATCTATATTCAATATTTATGTTCCTTTCTAAACATTTACCTTCAGGGGAAAATTCTCAAAAGTGTCTTAAAGACATTTTCCTAATATTCAGCTTTGGAGTAATGTTGTTCTATTTTCATTATAATGTAAAAAATACCTTTATCATGGGTCAGCCAGCAAAATGCAGACTGGGTTCACCTGATGTGAATTGTGTGCACTGGATGAAAGTGAAAAGCCATTTTTTTTTCTTTTTCATTGTTTTCTTTTATTTCAATAGAAATGGTGGTATTCATGAAATGTGCAATTAAATGTATTTCTGCTTATGTTAAGGTCAGTGTCACAAATATATATAATCATTGCACATTATTTGTAAATATCGACAAATATGATGGTGTCTAATTTGGAATAATCCTAAAGTGTATTTTTGTGCAAATAAAAAAAGAACACTAACACTATTTAGAAAACTTTTTATGGAACGTCAACAATATTTCCTTTTTGTGGGAGTTCTAAAGTTGTCTTGACTGTAATTAATTCTAAAATACTTTGCCTGATAACAAAAATAGGACAGGTACAATTACCTCAGCTTTCCTGTCTCCTGAGGCCCTGCCCCCAAAAAACATTTAAGTAATTGGATTAAGTATTATAATTACATTTTTGTTCACGTACATATAAATGTAGACTATCATTAATCATCCACAAATAATTTGACATTGTGTGCACTTGCATTTAAATTGCACTGTTAAACAGGATTTTTTCAAACACCATATTTACAGGTGAACATCAAAATGTTCCTTGTAATTAACCGGGTTGTTGAGAATCATTTTGAATGACTTCATCTGTATCTGCTTATACATGAGTTGTCATATACCCATGGCATTAAAAAGAATCACGGCATTTAGTTGGCTTTGAAACAAAATTATGAAAGTTACATGTAAACTTCACATTATGCTGGTAAATATTGCATTGTAACCAAGTAATATGCAATTTATGTAATGCTGCTTGATTAAACAGCTAGTTATCTGGACATCTTGTATTCTTCGCTTATTTGAAAAATAGATAAACATATACCTTCGAATAAAACACTAAGAACGTTTTTAATTTGAAGTCATTTTGTGTGATGTTTTAAATTGTAAAATGAACTCATTAAAGGGTCCATGAGATCGGGTTCTTTTTAGGAACACAATGTGTGCATCTTTCTGCTCTTACATGTATGAAAACTAACATTCCTTTTTGGTATTTTTTTTATTGAAAAAATTTATTGTTTAAACCATGGAGACATGTAAAAATGAACCTGCTTTTCCAGACTACTCAGTGAGGGCACTGTTGCTGTGAGGTCATTTCAGGAAGACACTTCACTCTGGGGGGTCCACTGTACTAATTCAAGCCCCATCGAAAACAGTGTAAAATCAACAAAGTTCAGGGCCAAATAATATGCAAGCCAACATCACTCGGGTTTCTCAAACAAAAATTAAATTATTGTCTTGTTTTTCATCTTTTCATTTCTTTTCAATTCTAGGTACATTAGCCAGTTACATTTTTAAATATTCACACACAAACAAAATCACCTCCCAAAAAGTGATATGTGTAGTTCCCAAGCCTGCATGTTGTATTGCAAGTGGCATCCTTCCACTTTCACAGGCAAATAGGACCCATTTTTCATCCGTAATTTTATCAAGCCTGCCCTCAGATGGAAGCCCCAAAACCAGGGAGTTGCATTGATCCTTGGGTATATTTACACAATTCCAACGTTTTAAAGCCAAACGGTCTCCCTTTTAAAAAGAAATTGTGGGGGCACTTTTTATGCTTATGATGACTCGCGTAGAAATTCTCACTTGAATTAGTTCAGTGCTCCTAGCTATAGTCTGTTCAAATTGTGAACCCAAAAATGTATTCATTGAAAACGTTTGTGAGAAAGTTTGCTCATTGGCTTACTAATACAACAAAAAAATAAAGAAGAGAAATTATTGTCCAACAGCTTGAACAACTTAAAAGAACTGGTTTGATTTTAGTTGCCCCCTTTATTTTTAGTGCTGTGTCGAACCTGAAACATCATTGCTGAAACCTAGAACTCGGACAAAAGTGGACGTGAATGATATGAGCAACTTGAGTCGATCGTTACATACATGTACACTGCTTTTTTACTTCCATTTTATAATTAATAACAAATTTCCCGCACATTCATTGATAAAATTAGAGTGACTTTGATTGGTCAATGGTTTCGTTTATTCAGTTTTTTAATTGGTGGATGTAGGTCACTGCCCACTGCGCAGCCGCAGACACCTGTCACGTACTCGATCGCCGCGACCACGTGTTTGATCATGCATTTACAACGTGCAGAATGTTTTGGGGATCAGAAATTTCTTATTCGCCGACGCGACGTGGGCACTGTATTGACAGGTTGCACAAAATTTCCTCAAATAAAATGGCTTTCACCTTGAGAAACGTACTTATCTTGGACAACGTGGCAAGCTGTTGTGCTCAAATACTCCAGGACAACGGTATCAAAGCAGATTCGGTAGCTAAATTAAGCAAAGAAGAGTTGTTGGCACGAATTCCGGTAAGTTTTTATTGGCATGACTCGACTGGCTTGGCGGGAGACAGTGTTGAGGCATACCGTTCATTTGCGGTCCAACACGGTAGGCTAGTATTATTATGCTGTCGGCACGTGTCGCCTAACAAAGAACCAGATTTGGCGGCTCTGATGCTCTGATATGATGGTCATACCATGGAGCTATAAAAACATCACGATATAGGCTATCCCGATCTTGTCATGCCTGTTTTGTGTAATCGGTTTTATTAACGAGAGTACAAAGTTATTGGAGGTCTAGGCTAACTGAAAATGAAATACACTCTGACGTGTTTTTTTTTAAATGAAAAAAAATTGTGAGGATGTTTTTGCTCAGGCCCCCTATTCTGCTATTCATGTATTTGCTTTAAAATTGATCTTATTTAAATGTCCTCGGACATTATTCCGTTGCTTTGAAAAATGTCCCTATTTACCCTTGGCCTTGCGACGGATCGACCACGTGGATCAACCAGAGAGTAGGCCTATCTTCATTCATCATTATGCAACGCGTGTTGGAAAGATTTTGGGGAAATTCCATTGACATGCGTTTGTGGTGCATGATCCTATCCAGGGTCCATTTCTAACGGTATCTTGGCAACTTACCAGACGAGAGGTCAAAGTTTATTTGGTGCACTTTTATAAATTGTCTCCTGCCCTGACATTTTTTTAAGTGATTTGATACCTCCATAGAGCTAGAGGAAGGCTGCTCCATGCTGTCACCAAGCTACAGCTGTACATAGGCATTACATGACTCAAACTTTCATTACTATTAGGAGATATTTACAAAGTATTGCTAGATTTATTATCTGCTAGATAGATTTAGTATCTGATCAGCCCCCTGCAACATGCTGCAACCAGCTTTGGAACAAGAATTAATGAGTAAAGAATTCCCAGGGGGATGGATTTGCAGGGGGCTTTTGTTTACACAAAGATAATTGGGCAGTAACAAATTAAACAGTGCACCATGGTGGGACTGCTAAGCATTGATATGATTGAGCAATATTTATCCAACAGGTGCATTAAATTTCTTGGTGGGGGGGGGATGTGGAGTTGGGATTTAGATGGACTGTGGGGAGGGTCTCTGCCATGCATTTTAAAAACTAGTTATTGGAAAATATCTTATTATTAACTAAACAAATATTGAATGTTTCTCTCTTTTTTTCATTGCCTAGAATTACGATGGCGTCATCGTCCGTTCAGCCACAAAGATTACCGCAGATGTCATTGATGTTGCCAAAAACTTAAAGATTATTGGCAGAGCAGGGACAGGCGTTGACAACATTGATGTCAGTGCAGCATCACGTCATGGCATCATTGTCATGAAGTAAGAACTTGTGCAATTTCAATTATTTGCAGTTTGTATGGCATAATTGAATTATAATTATATTGTATTGCGTAATTGTAATGGGAATTACAGAGAGGAAAATTAAATATCAGTAATTGAAATTATTCTAAAATAACATTTAATGAGACTGATTATGGAAGCATATATATCATTTATTTTTTCCATTTTTATGCCCCGCGGCGAAGCCGAAGGGGCATACTGTTTCCGCCTTGTCCTTCCGTGGGTGGGTGTGTGGGTGGGTGTGTGGGTGGGTGTGTGGGTGGGTGTGCTTGTCTTACATACGCAGTGTGGACTTCCGAACAAAAGACGTCCACATAATGTAGGTAGCACCGACGTTGTGTGGACTTGCCCACGTCCACACAGTGTTTCCCCATTTCTGGAAAACAGGTTTAGAGGCATTTTTGGGTTAGGTTTATCTGTAGCAGAATGAAGAGAAACACTAAAGGGAATCATAGAAAAAAAATTGGGTTGAAAGAGTTTTCACAGTTTGAGAAAAATGAGTTTTTTCACTGGTTTTTCTTAACTACACGAAAGCAATGGAAAGTCCACACTAGTCATGTGAAACAAGTGTGGGTGTGTGGGTGGGTGTGTGGGTGGGTGTGTGGGTGGGTGGGTGTGTGTGTGTGTCCGGACAAATCTTGTCAGCGCGATAACTTGAGAAATACTTAACATATGAACTTCAAATTTGGTTTGTGGATTGTCCTTGGTAATCCTAAGAAGCCTTTTGCATTTGGGGCCGAAAGGTCAAGGGTCAAGGTCACAGTGGCTGAAACAATAGCAATCTTGTCAGCGCGATAACTTGAGAAATAATTAACATATGAACTTCAAATTTGGTTTGTGGATTGTTCTTGGTAATCCTAAGAAGCCTTTTGCATTTGGGGCCAAAAGGCCAAAGGTCAAGTTCACAGTGGCTAAAACAATAGAAATCTTGTCAGCGCGATAACTTGAGAAATAATTAACATATGAACTTCAAATTTGGTTTGTGGATTGTTCTTGGTAATCCTAAGAAGCCTTTTGCATTTGGGGCCAAAAGGCCAAAGGTCAAGTTCACAGTGGCTAAAACAATAGAAATCTTGTCAGCGCGATAACTTGAGAAATACTTTACATGTGAACTTCAAATTTGGTTTGTGGATTGTTTTTGGCAATCCTAAGAAGCCTTTTGCATTTGGGGCCAAAAGGCCTAAGGTCAAGTTCACAGTGGCTAAAACAATAGAAATCTTGTCAGCGCGATAACTTGAGAAATACTTTACATGTGAACTTCAAATTTGGTTTGTGGATTGTTCTTGGCAATCCTAAGAAGCCTTTTGCATTTGGGGCCAAAAGGTCAAGGGTCAAGTTCACAGTGGCTAAAACAATAGAAATCTTGTCAGCGCGATAACTTGAGAAATACTTAACCTATGAACTTCAAATTTGGTTTGTGGATTGTTCTTGGTAATCCTAAGAAGCCTATTGAATTTGGGGCCAAAAGGTCGAGGGTCAAGTTCACAGTGGCTAAAACAATAGAAATCATGTATTTATTCTGAGATTATAGGGATTAGGGATTAATTCATATAAAACCTACAGAAGACACTAATGCTGTCAATGAATGTTCCATGTGACCAAGGTACATGTAAGTTGATGTTAAAAGAGTGGTGTTATGTCATGGGAACTGTCACCGTTGCGGGGCATTTGTGTTTGTAAACACACCTGACTTGTTTAAAATTATGTTTGGCAGCACGCCAGCTGGAAATACTCTGAGTGCAGCTGAACATACATGTGCCATGATGTGTGCTATGTCAAGGTGAGTGGGTTTCGTCATATGCCTTATCTGTGTTGTGGACTTGCATTATTTCAAGATATAGACTTGGACTTTATGCTTATATATTTATTTATTTGTGTAATTCCAGAAAATAATAATAATAATACATGTATTATTTATTTCAGATATCTTCCACAAGGTCACATGTCACTGAAGGAGGGCCGTTGGGATCGGAAGTTGTTCATGGGGAATGAACTTAATGGAAAGACATTAGCCATCGTTGGTCTAGGCAAGATCGGAAAAGAAGTAGCGACTAGAATGCAGTCGTTTGGCATGACAGTACGTTCTCTAGAACCTATGCTAGTTGCTTATGTACTAATTCTGAAACAAAAGTAGAAGCCATTTTTTTAGTTGGAGTCACGCTCAGGTACGACGCACACGTACACTTTGGACCTCTTACGCTAATAAGGTTAACAAAATGTGCACGTGCCTCGTCTTTAAGAACACATGCGGCATGCACACGGACTTG